TCCACCATATTGATAAGGAGAATAACGAACATTGAAAAAACGATCAGACCCTTCATTCCTAGATAGAAAACTAGAGTTGGTGTTAAACTTATGCATAGACGTGGAAGATTTCTGCTTAGTTTGTTGCTTGCGTTTAACAACCTGGATAGCACGACTCTCGGCCTTTTTGATTCTGGTCTCATCATCAGAATCACTAGCAAGGGGGTTAGAAGTATATTGTCTAACGGTTTCCCACCCTCCTTCTGAGGTATCTGCTAATTTAATCAATTTATTGCGTTGTTTGAGTTTATCAGAAATTTCTTCTATAACCTCCTGACAATATTCCGGTTTCCCATTAACTACACCCCATACTGCCTGTGATAAACCATCTATCAATTCAGAATTAAATGTATACTGAATCTTATTACCGATCTTTGACCATTTATGCTCTGAATCAAGTTTAAGTTTTTTAACCTCTGACTGAACAGCTAAGGAATTACCTCTTACTTCATCCTTAAAACTATCCAGTTTCTCATCGATTTTATTTTCCAAATCATCAACAACTGCTTTTCTGTCTTCTTTCAGATCTTGTAATTGGGATAAAACCAATTCAGTGTTTCGCCGATGTTATCTGTTGATTGTCCGTCGCCCATCATAGTAAACAAACACGTGTAGACAAATCAGCTAAGTTCACGTGCATTCAAGACGATGTCTGTAGCGCTGAAAGATCAATTCAATAGGCACACCCCCAACATTCAAAAGCGCCACCACCTGTCTAGTTTGGTCACAAACAGGAGAAAATAATTCATGTCTAATTCATAAATTCAAACGACATGAATTTAATGTATCGGATACTTGAGATTTTAACTAGATTAGAACGGTTCGCCATTTAAAAATTTAATTTAAAAATGGGAAAGCGAGACTAAGTCTCGAATATACCAGTGCCCTGTTAACACAATGCACACATCTTGTCAAAACTACAAACAGTGATAACTTGGCTCAAAATGAAGTAATTTGAATGAAATTTTCAATATTTTCATTCTACATTACCTATTTTTGAGCTATTATAGCAAGAATGGTAACCTCTTTATTTAAATCTTACATAATGTATCTTTAGGCCAGATAAGCCCATTTACTTATCGCACGAAACTTCTTGCAAAATGCTGAGCATAAGAATGACAATGACCCGACTTTTTCAGTGGTGGGGTACCCCAGCCAGATAACTCTTTGTCAGGGTGACTACCCCAATACAAATGTCTGGCAATTACACAGCTGCCAGGGGTACCCCGCCACTAGAAATGGCTGTCAAGAGTCTTTTTTGTAATACCTGAAGATGCACAGTACACTGCTGTACGGTTTTCATGTTGTACACTTTTGAGCTAATCTAGCTTAGTTGGGAGAGATGGCATATTGGGCGTGGAATACCACACCTACCACAAGTTACTTGAAGGATTTATTTCAGCGACGTTTCGACGTGGGGTTTCCCGTCTTATCAAGCAGGGACTTTTTTTTACATTCATCCATGCGCATTCGCGTCTATTCCTATGATGTATCGATACCGGTATTGACTGGGGTTACCATTAGTCTTGCCGCTACCATGCTGTTCAGTGACAATAATACATGTTAACAGCGTCAGAGAAGATGTACAGTAAATTATTACTACAGTAATTATTTGTTTTGAGCACATATTCGTATGACGGCAGATATTAAGGCTGACATTTAATTTTAATTAGTGGTCATTTACCTTCGACAGTTCCTCGTTGATGTTCTTACGTTTCGTGAGTCTGAACTTTAAACTGTTGTGGCCAACTACGTATATATTTTCCCGTTTGAAAATCAAGCAGATTTTACGCTTGGGTTAGCAGTTGCTGATTCCAGTAGTTTTACGTTATCGCGGGTCGTATCTTCAGAGAATACGAACCGGCTACCTTTTAGCCATTTTCGTCTCGAGATTATCTTGTACACTCAAAGCCATTAAAACGCAATGCCAAATTCAAAGTTTATTTACTGCAACAACTTTTAACAAATGTACATGCCAATTGACAAAATCGAGATAACAAGCACCTGTGGATAATTTCATGAAAGAATTCACTACAAATGCACAAAACCGAAACGTCAGAGAACCATGAAACAAAGCAGGGGTCAGCTGAAGTCAATATCGGGTATGTTCACCCTGAGCTCTTACACATGCCTGAATTCAAGTCGCCTTGGCATGCTTGGCACAGATGTCTCACTACACGCTGTGGGATTGTTTGCCAATGATTTTGGAGTGCCTGTGCCAACTCTGCAACAATTCGGGGTGGCACGGCTTGAGTTCAAACCCGTCGTTCAAGTTCATCCCAAAGGTGTTCGATCGGGTTTATGTCGGGAGACATAGCGGGCCAATCCATAACACGGACATGATGATTGTTCAGAAAGTCTCTTGTCAACCTGGTAGTGTGGGGTCGGGCGTTGTCATGCTGGAAAACCATCTATCGACGGACGCCATGTTGAGTCAGCAATGGAAGCAACACCGGACGAAGGATGCGTCTCAATCTCAACGCTCAACATTATGTTGACGCCATCCTTCGTCCGGTGTTGCTTCCATTGCTGACTCAACATCCGAAAAGATGGCATTTCGCCATGGTGTGCTGTGCAGATACCCCTGATTTGCGGCCCTTGGTAAGGTCGACGGCGGCGTAACCCAAAAGCTGCCAGGCGCCTTCGGACTGTTTGAGGGCAGATCTGACGTTGCCGTGTTCCAACAGTTCCCCTGGCAGTAGCTGACTGGAACCTGTTGCGCAGATGCTGTAGTCGGATGTGGCGATACTGAGCAGCGGTTGTTACAGGTGGCGCTCCAGGTCGAGGTCAATCGGCAACTCTTCAAGTGGCGTGGAAGCGTTGTCCGAGGCGAGCAATGGTCGATGGGTGGACATTAAAATGTCTGGCGACGGCTACCTGTGAAATCCCCTGATCCAGCATGCCAATAGCTATGTTCCTGTTTTCTTGTGTAAGGCGTGACATTTTTACGGAGTAATGAATGTTGAAATTTTGATCTGCATTTAAAGGGCCAGAGTGCAGGGAATGCACGTGCAAAACGTGTGGCATGGGACTGCTTAAAATCGTGAAAGTGTTGCGTTTGCACGAACAAAGTTCATTACTGAGAACTGATATTGGGTTCAAACCCAGAACTCCACAAATAGAGACCCAACACAAGTTTCACTTATGTGCCATAAGATAGGAAAGCCCAAGAAAACGTTTACCAGAAATATTTCACGAATTAGGCATTGCGTTTTTAAAGGCTTTGAGTGTATGGGAGGGTATCGCTGCCAATATTAAATGCTCTGCGACAATGTCGTTTCCATGTAAAAAGTACAATGTACAAAGTCCCAATACAGATAAGGATAAAGTCAAAATATACCTCTAAGGCAAGAGTTAAATGTAAAACGTCAAATGTTAAGTGTTAAATGACAAATGTTTTGTGTGAAAATGCTTTTATTGACGTGTCTACATTTTACATTTCTCTCATTACATTTTACTTTTGCGCTCTGCCACATCCCATTTGTCCTTCACGCGTTCTACAAAGCATCTTTCGCACAGCATCAACTTCCATATGCAAATGTAGGATATCACGTGACTTATTTACATATACGGAAACCTGGCACACTATAAGGATATTCAACGCACGATAACAGTAAATCAAGCTGGCACACTATAAGAAACTATCTAGACGACAGTGCGTAATCATGAATGTGCCAGGAAATAATTATGTACAGCCTAATTAACTTTGATCCATTTAAAAAATACCCCAACAATATATGAGCATTGTGCCGAACAAATAAATAATATATTTAAAGAGAGGAATGACTATTACATTTTTTAGTATGGACATAGAGAATTTTTGATTAAGCCCCGTATCTTTATTTAAGTTTAGTTTAGTCCCACCGCCCACCCTTCCTTCACTTCAACTTTTAATCTTATTTTGTAAAGTTAAGCAAATATGAATGTGCCCGAAAATTATTTGCATATTTGAAAAGAGCAATCATTGATAATTACGTAACATGGTATCTGGAATTTCGTATTTAGACCAGTATTTTTACTTGTATACCCCTTTAATAGTGTGATGTTTATTGGATTTGAATTATGAAAATACGATTGTACCAGAAAACTATTTACATATTTACAAAGAGAAATGAACGTGCTTTTCACTAATATGTAACATGATACCTGGATTTTCGTATTTGGACATTGTTGGTCTTTTCTTTTTATTGTACTCTCTGGTTTTGTCACCCGTTCTTCTATACGGTCCTGATCCAAGATTTGCAGTAGCATTTTCTAGATCAGATAATGGATTTTCATGAGACACAAGTTTTTCGTTTATGGCTTTGTTTAGTTCATACTCCTGTTTATTGTCTATCAGCTCTTTTCCGCCTTCAGAGATTTTTCCGTTGCTGTTTCACTACCATACATGTTAAATTTGCCCGATTTTTATGGAATCGCTGTGTAACGCAATCTTTCCATTGTAGTTGAGCCGACTAATTAGTGTTTGTCATTTCCATTCACGACTAATGCCCCCGTCAGACCGGGTTGGCGTCCTTACTGCGCTGCTGCGACCGTACGGCGACCAGAAAATGCACAAGGTCATCGGCAAGCGCAAACACAACGCGAGAAAATGTCCCAACATTTGAACATGCTCAAAACAAACGCTGTGACTCAGCTATCATTGGCGACCATGGAGACCACAGCACGATTTCTCACGTTACCACCATGCTTTTACCACGCTTTTGGCGATCATGACACGCTTTTGGCGATCATGACGCGCTCTGAGGCCATTTTCCGTCGCCGTAACAGCCCAGTAAGGGCGCCACCCCGGTCTGACGGGGTATAAAATTATAACGTTCTAGCCATGGTGCAGCCAAAATCTGTATGTTTATAGGATAACATCCGGGTTTAGTTCAAAGCAAATTAAGTGGAAAACTACTGTCACTTATTATTTCTAAGAAATAAGTTAGATTCAATAAAGAAAAAAATCCGGATAAAAGTTCTATTTTACATTCTTTCTTAATTTATTTCTCTTAAGAAACAAGTTAAAGCTTTTAAAAATTCTCTTTGAAAACAAATATTTTGACAAAGAAATGGAAGATAATTAAGCACATAATGGCTAAAAATCGACATGAAGTTCATTATACAAAAACTTACTCCTTTATCATTACATAGTTGCTCCATGGCAAAACAATAAATAATAAACAATTTAACATTTTATAATTAACATGCATCTATATAACAATTAAGTTACATGTATATAATAATAGGTAGGAGTATAACGTAAAATGATATGCTTTACATGTATATAAAATAATAATTCAAGACATCATAATGATATTTATATATATTTTACTTACAAAAATGTATATGTTTTAATCATTACCTATCTTCATATATACCACACAATATACAAATACATATTGGCATACCTAATTGACATTTTCATATCTATGTCTGATTATGTCTTAGATCATCATTAGCATTGTGAGATGATAATGATAAAAACACAGTTTATAAAGCATTAGATTACTTACCAAAAATATCCTCTCATATTCTAATATGAATGAATTTACTTAATCATTATCTCTCAAGAACAAAATTGATCTTTCAACTAGATTTACCTTTCATGCAAAAAGTAACATTTTTGTTTTCTTAAATTCTGACATTCAGGGGAAACTGTACATGTCATACGGGTTGGTAATTCTAAACTGATCCTAGCTCCTCTGTCTCTTGACAGTGGGATATAGTGGGATATCCAAGATGCAGTATTTGACATGTGGCACATTAAATACAGATTTAGTTAAGTGTCATAAAATACCGTTTATATGACTAGATTCAATATATTGTATAGATAGACTGTCATACATGTTTCATAAGGCTTGTAGATTTAAAGTGGGATAACAATATAAATATCTTGTATTATACATTAAGGTGGGATAACTGAAGGTCTTACAGACAATATAAATATCTTGCATTATATTTTAAGGTGGGATAATAAAGGATCTTACAAATAGTAAATATCATTCATTATACATGAAGGTGGGATAATTGAAGGTCCCTACAAATTAGTTACATTAAAGATAAAGGTGGGATAACTGGGTCTCAATCAAAAGGCTCTAACAAAAATAAATCAATTATAAATGCAAACTATGATTTGATTTTCCTGATAATTTGTATGTAAAATTTATGAATGATCTATATAAAGATAGCCACCCAAAGTGTGGAATTACACCCATACAGCAGCTATGTCTCAAAAAACAAAAGGAAGCCTTAAATTAAAATAAATCTGTTAAAAACTGTTCCCTCTACCACATTTACAAGTTTTTCAGAAAAAGAGTGGGGTTAACAACAGAAGGTTAAGAAATACCGATTATCGAATAGGTTCATCCTCTTATGACCCTAAAAAATTCACACCAAATTTGAAAACAATCCATTAAAAAAAGTAGCCTCTATTGTGTTAAAAAGCCAATTGTTGACAGACTGGCTTAAGATATATTATATGTGTAGTCGCATAAAAATAAAACTGTCCAGTGTTTGGTCCTTTAACAAGTTACTATTATATGATTGGAAGAGATATGCACAAAGAAATGAAATCATGAAGCAATGATGACAGAAATCTATATAAATATAAATGATGAAGAAATGATCCAAGAACTATACATATATGTAGTAAAATATATTGACAGTAAAATTTGACTGTACATTTATCTGGAAAGGATTTTCCCCTATGTTATGTATAAATAACAGTTTAAAACACTCCAATCTATATGACTGGCATATATGGCTGAGGTCTCACCCACGTTCCAAAACTCTTTACATCAGACAAACAACTGCTTTAATACTTTTGTTGTACTTTTATGGTATAGGTGACTGTTTGAGGAAAAGTGCTTCTAAAACTGAGTAACAACTACTGTTCAATATACTCCATAATGCCCATCGCACATATTACAATATTCTGTTGGAATTCAAGCTGACAATAAAATTGCTTTGTGTGAGGTAGGCTTTAGAAATTGAATGATTTTCCCACAAAATCATAATATAAAAATTGTGTGGGTCTTAACTAATTTATCATAAAGACTCTCTAATCCTCATACTGAACAGTTTAAAATAAAGGCATGTTTATTTTAGTACAAAAATGTTTGAATTAAAATTGGTTGAAAAATAATTTCATATATGTTACAATAATTATAAATGAAGTGATTGACAAGATGTTTATGATTATTATATACAAATGCAAATGTAAAAAAAAAATCATGAAAATAAGGATTGTGAATTATATCCACCATAGAAAAAATAACAAAGACTAAAATTATACAAACTACTTAGTTTTGATCAATAGGATATACCTGTTTAAATGGTCAGGTCGTATTTTAGATTGTGTCTGTAGTTTTTGATCTGTATTTTATAGTATTCCTTTCGTAAATAAATAATCATATTCATATTGATACAAGTGGGTATTAGGTTTATGTACAAATTTGCACACACACAGCAGTTAGCAAGCTAAGTTACATGCTTGATCCCCACACTTGTGTCATTGTACAAGACACCTTACATGTATCTCTGTCATCTAGACTGACCAACAAAAATAGGTACTGTATAATCAATTTAGCATGAAAAAATCTGTTGAAAAGAAGGTAAAAGCACCCCTGTATTGTAGAGAAGTTATATAGCTCTGATTCCTCTGCATTGCAATCTCACATTTAAATACCTTTGATGTATTAAACATGAGTGGGGGGTGGGAACTTTTGTATGTTTTGTCAAGTCAGGCCAATTATAGGTATTTATTATTATAGCATAATGACCCAGTATTGATACAAAATATCATTATTGACAAAAAAACACTTGAAACTTAGTTGTTAAGATTTCAGTCACAAAAACTGAACAACTATTGGATAGTCTAGACATCTTCACCTTGTACAAAATATAGTTCTCACAGTAAAGTATCATTGCAGAAATACAATGCGATGTCGCTATTAACAATAATAAGATTTAAGTTTTATACTGATTCATATGACACAAGAAACTCGTGAGAGTTCATTTTAAGGACACTGATTTTCATTGCATATTACTGCATTAATTATAATAGGTAGAATGTCACAGAAAGAAGCAGTAGTCCCACTGTGCTGATCCCCTAAAAACCTTCACTTCTGGCAAAAATTCTATTAAGAACGCAATCATGAAGCAATGTCCAGCTTACATGGACCAAATTGCACAATGTACCATTTTTATATTCAATAAATTCTTACTACACGTTAATTTGTATCTTTAAGACCCTTGGGGAAACATTTCAGCCCCTATTGTGTTTGCTTGTTTGCCCCACGATAAATTTGATGCTGCATACATTAGAACAAAATGCAATCCTTCTGGTATAATCTACAGACCCTTATAAAACTTAACAACATACTGTACTAGTATCTAAAACTTAAAAAACATTCATATCACAGATATCTATGTACTTCTTACATTTTAAGAGTCGAAACTCAAATTAACATATTTCTTGGGTATTTGTTTAGCACTAATAATATCTATCACAACTTAATAAGCAACAGATAGTTCCAGCGGCATTATTTCTTCTATTTAACATATCCACTAATCAAACTATTTGTGTAAAAATTTGATAATACTGATTGAGTTGTTTTATTGACATTTACAGATACACTGAGATACAATGAAAACGCATCACTTTTATGGATAATTTTAAATTTTGTTTGAGAGATACACTTTAATTTTGCAATTGTGAATGTAACAACAGCAGATCACAATAACATGTGAGAATAACAGACGAACACAGGCTACCATCCTGAGACCAGCTGGGTCCACTAGATATCGGCCAAGACATAGATGGCAACATTGCCTTGACAAAACATGCACATTAATCGGCCATATCTACAGGATCTACTGGAGTGCTTGACCAATTCTGACCCCACACCGTTACCGACTTTGATATTTAATCTTTATGTGCCGACCGCAAATTCTGTCAACTGGAGCAGCATTGCAATAAAATGATCCCACAAGCAGCCATTCAGCGACTTATCTCCTTCATGTGGCAACGACATGTGGCTGCTAGAGGTGGACATTCACACTGACCTTTGATTTTTATCCCGTGTGCCTTACATCCTTACATTTTACTATAAAGAGTTGTTATGGTCTCCGTAGGTTGTTGATTATTTATGGTGTCGGTAAATGTCCAGCCTACAATCATGTCTAAAATCACATTACAGCCGACTGTCTCGCCAGCACTTCTAATCAATATAGTGGTGTGTTATCATTGCGTCTCGGTGTGTGTTTTATATTATTTATTACTATAGTAAAAGTTGCTGTGCATCATTACAACTGTTTGTGACAACTGCTGAAAGTATTATCAACATCACTATTTTTTTTTAAAAACTGGATAATCCCAATATAAATTGTTTAGAGCAGATGTTATTTTGATTCTAAAATGCAACAGTGCACAACTGAAACTATATGACTGGGGATCCACAACATATGTCTTGATAGACAACATAATTTGTCTATATGTACGTCAGCTATGCATGAACTTTTTAAAAGTATAATCTTGTATCACTAAAGCGGGGAATGAAAATGTGCGGTATTCTATTAATATATAATAAAAAACATTCTATAAAGTAGTATTATATCTAGTTTCCTTGTATTTGTTACCTTTAATAAAGGCAAATATAAAACCTTTATTGGCAAACTAAGATTTTCAAAATGTAACCGCACATCCCTTTTCTTCATATTCTTGATCTTAACAAGAGAAAATACATTTTTCTGACAGGACACAGCCACACACTGCCTGGAATGTATTTATTGAAAAATTGTAGAAGCATTTACCCTTGTTCATAACCTGGTTGACTTTAACACACACTGCTGTCAGGTTCACAGCACTTTCTATATTTCTCACATTCACTAAGTTGTATATCATCATATGTGACCAGTGAACTAATAGTAATCAAGAATTTTTTTCTATATATTTTGATTTATGGTCCGTTAACATATCTGTTACTGCTACTAGTTTCCTTAAACAAGGCTGAAATATAAATAAAATTCATATGTTAATATATGTTAATAATAAAAGGAAAAGAATATGATTCTTGTTGAGACAATGAAACTTTCAAGACCAATGGAAACATTTTTTAACTTAAATTGCAAGTTAATTTAATTTAACATTGACTACAATGTACTTGTCACTGATCTAATATTTCATATCAAATACACATTTGAAAGGTAATCTTTACAATCATCCACATTTGTAACACTTAAATCTTTCATTTCAGACACAGAACTGTAATCATTACTAATCGGAATTGGCTTGGAAAACCAATCATCAAAACATTGCATAATGTATATGGAATACTTGACTGAAATTCTGGAATTGAATTGAGTAAATAGAACAACTCCGGACGACATAACATACATCATTTGAATAGTTATTTCCACCCGTCATCATGACTGCAACAGTTGATTACTATATATACTATTCACATAACATCTATTATCAGACTGATTCCCTAATGCAATTCCATCTATTTGGAACTGTCATGACTCGACTGACAATTGAGCAGCCCCACTGGTATATCCATACTTATCTCTAAACTTACCTGTGTTTCAGATAATTTACGTAAATCTTGTAAATGTGTTGCTGCCATTTGATGTACAGTAGCTAGATCCCGAGCAAGGTCAACTGGTATATTTTCTTGTTTTACAGGATGAACTGATTGAATATTCTAAAATAAAACAAATTAAAAAATATAATTAACACCCCAAACACGTCTGAGAACTAGACAGCTTTTGAAATACAAAACAGTTAAAGGATTTGGATAGAAAGTTATACTTACAGATAGTTCATCTAAATACATGATCATTTTATCACGATTCTTCTTTATAAATGGTTTAACCACTTCCATAAATACTTCCTATAAAAGAGCATAACAAACATTTAAAAGTGAACAGTTAGAGCTAAACGAGACATATTATTTCAGATAATATAGCATAAAACTATTGTTCATTAGGCAACAGTCATGAGTTTCCAGCATATTTATCTTCAACAAGGACTTTATCTTTATTTTCCCAACTGTGCTGTTACGTTTAAGAAATGTTCAATGCATAGATATATCACTGATCTAAAGCAAGTTACAAATAAGATAATATCAATTAATTAAATCTTGAACTAAGGCCACTTAAAAAAGAAATAGTTGGTGATGTCCTTTTTTTTACCAAAAAATGTGGGAGGGAGGTTTTTATTTATTTATTTTTTTTTGATGAATATACAGAACAAGCAATATTTCAGGAATATTAAGCTTTTATTTGATGTCAAAACACATGTCATCTGCTTATAAAGCCGCCGATTGTCATCTGCATTGTTCAGATTAATTATTTAAACTTTAGATATTCCGGCTTGGATTCAATCAGATTAAAAAGATATTTAACTGAACACTTATAGGTGGTGCTGGCTGGTTAAATGTTGCAGGATTTTCAATTCATATCATGTCTTTGGACTGACTTTTTAGCCATTCAACTTTCATAATATTGTAGTTTGTGAATAGTAAGACGACCAGAAGAAACCGTTAAAAAAAAAAAGTTTTGCAAGACGAATAACGATCACTAACAGCGGATGGCATGGGTCGATTAAGTCATTCATGCCCTCCCTGGCCATGGCACTTGATGAATAACAAGCCAACAGTGAGGCTGATGTCCCCCGCCGAAATAGGAAAATAATTAGAGGACACATATAAATTTATCACAAATTATCTTTTACAAAGTATTGAACAATCAAACAGTATATCTTTACTTCCAAAGTATCGACCAATCAAATTGCGTATCGCTCTGCTTACCCTGAGCAGAAAATGCTCATTATCAAACTTAGTCAAGGTGTTACTGTAATGAAACTATACACCAAGTTTCATCAATCTCACTTAATTAGAACTAAAGTTATCGTGTCCCAAAGCATCAACCAATCAAATTGCTTATCTCTGCTTACCCTAAGCGGAAAATGCTCATCTTCGAACTCCATCAAGGCATTGACCTAATCAACACATACACCAAGTTTGAACATTCTAGCTCAATTAGGAAGAGAGTTATCGTGCCCCAAAGTATCAACCAATCAAATTGCTTATCTCTGCTTACCCTAAGCGGAAAATGCTCATCTTCGAACTCCATCAAGGCATTGACCTAATAAACACATACACCAAGTTTGAACATTCTAGCTCAATTAAAAGTTATCGTGTCCCAAAGCATCAACCAATCAAATTGCTTATCTCTGCTTACCCTAAGCGGAAAATGCTCATCTTCGAACTCCATCAAGGCATTGACCTAATCAACACATACACCAAGTCTGAACATTCTAGCCCAATTAGGAAGAGAGTTATCGTGTCCCAAAGCATCAACCAATCAAATTGCTTATCTCTGCTTACCCTAAGCGGAAAATGCTCATCTTCGAACTCCATCAAGGCATTGACCTAATAAACACATACACCAAGTTTGAACATTCTAGCTCAATTAGGAAGAGAGTTATTGTGTCCCAAAAAGTGTGACGGACAGACAGACGGACGGACGGACGGACGGACGGACGGACGGACGGACGGACAGACAGACAGACAGACAGACGGACGGACAGACAGACAGACAGACAGACAGACGGACAGACAGACAGACAGACCCATTTTAATAGTCCCCTGCTTTCTTCGAAAGGCGGGGGACAATAAAATTAGTACGAGGGTTGGTCAAAAAGTTCAAAGCCTATCTGTGAAAGACCTGTACAAAGTCGATGGTTTCTATTTTTTTTTCTTTTGCCAACAATGTTGCAAGCCGGGATGCCAATCAGGAAGAAATTTTCTTCAGTCATCCTGAAAATGTCATTCAGAGCTGACATGATGTCATCATTACTAAGAAAATGACACGCTTAAATTACGCAGCCATCTTCTTTACTGTGGAAAAGTAAGGCACATTATCCCCTAAAGAGTGAGAGTGAGAGAAAGAGGGTTTAACGTCCACTCCACACAAACTAGGTCATTTCAGGACTAACACATGGTTCAATTTTATTTCAATAATATGCGTGCGCATAGGGATCTTTAGCAGTGGGAGGAAACAAGAGGTTGGACAGGCGACCCTATTCCTTGTCACATACAACGTGTTAACCATTCGGCCATCCAATCCCCCATCCCCTAAAGTGAAGACCATGTTGACATGTATCTGTGTTGAGTTAGCCCTTTCAGTCCTCAGTTGCAGTTCTTGTGTCTATGATTCATGTAATGATTGTACTTGTTGGTGGCAAAAGTTTGTTTCAACCCATTTGATCTATCCTTTTCAGGCTCATAGCTATTAACCAGCCCTTGTATTAATCCAGTGGTCAGTTTAATGCAAGAAAAAAAATTCCTAGAAATAGCTGGCTAGTATATTTGAAATAACTTCTTTACATCATGATCAACCCTTCTTATTGTTATCAATATATAACTTTACCTTAGTTCCCGTATCCACCAAATTAGCTAAATTCTGTATAACTTTAGCTACCAATTTTAATGTTCTACCAGACATCTCAGAAGGATTTTCTATAAACAAAAAAGCATAACAAAAAAGATGAATACAACATCATAACAAGGATGAAAATCGCTTATCACTAAGTTAATGGTTATCACTATGAAACGGCACAGCCATATGTGATATTTTTTTACTTCTCTAACTATTATTACAGTCAATGTTTCCTGATGTAACCACACACATCAGTAAAGTGTCTTGTTGCTTAACAATCAGATATAGTGGTGAATGTTACCTTATAGTATAAATAAATTAAACTTATACAGAATGTGACAATAGCCTACCTCAACTAAAATCTTAACATCAACTGTTAATTTCCATGATTCATTGACAGATACATTCATAATACTTGATTGTCTTGATTTCTATCCCCAGATAGATCTACATGTATCTTGGGTACCACAATTTTTCTTCTCTGAACTATCGATCAATCAAAATGATTTCTATGATTTTCCTGGTGAGTAACTGATTAAGAAGTCAATGGGGAACACCCACCTGATTTTAAGTGGTTTTTTGAGGTAACATCAGAAAAATCAACAGTAATAATACAGTCAGAGAAGATGAACTACGAAAACATAAAACAAGATAAACTAACCTGCAACAAGGTTGAACGACTTGGGGTTTAGTATAGCTGGACATAATAGTCGTAAAAAAATAAAACCACTGAAATCAACAATGAAATACAAGTTTCAGGACATAGGCATTTTAAAGATTTAATTTCATTTTCCATTTGGAACCAACTCTCAACCTATCTGTAAACTTCTACAATCCTTGTGGGGCATTTTAGTTGTAATAATAGTAGGTTACTAGCTAGAATACTTGGTATGGTACAATCACTATGTGTATTATAAGTTTCCAGTCATTTTAGGAAAACAAATTAGCCCTTTTACATAACACTTTCCATTAGATTAAAATAAAACGTATCAATACTTACCTAATGACCCTAGTTTTAACTGTTTCATCTGTTGGCCATCTTTTTGTTACTTGTAATTGTAGATGATGGCAGATCTGTCTTAAATTACTGAAATTTTTTATTAATTCATAATCATAATCCTTATAAGACATATAGAAATAGATTTCACTAAAAATTAACACACTTACACGGATACTACTTCTGAATTTTATTAACATGCTACATTTCAATACACATACAGGTATCGTTATCAAGCAAATAATGATTCTACTACTACTACTACATGGTACTTTAGCGTCTGCTTCCACAGAAGTGATATCGCAGACAAGACATAGGAGAGTCGAGGCTTCTTCCTGTTTTTAGAATATCTTTCCATTGGCGGCCTCAGGCCGTGGAGTAGGTTTAGTTGGATGTTCATCCCTTTATTTAATAAAATATGTATTGTGTGGTAGTTTATATGTGAAGACAGCATATATGCGCACATATATGCGTCTCGTTTCTGGATTGGTAGATGTCATCTTTGTGGGTTTAGTGTTTAGGTGCCAGGCCCGTCTTATCATGGCCTCCCCTTACTCCACTATCCCACTCTGCAGGTTTGGTGACTTTTTAGTGTTTAGATGTCGAGCCCGTCTGACTGTGACCCTCCCTTACTCCACTATATTGCCAATTTGGTAGATGAAGAGCCCATCTAACTGTGGCCCCCTCTAACTTCACTATTCTACATAATCCAACCATGGTCATTAGATCGTGGATTAGTTCGAAGATTTGCAGCTTCAGATCTGGTCTCGGAAAGAGTAGGTTCTTAGTGTTGAGCGGTATGTTGTTGGTCTCCATCATTCTCACTAGTTCCCTTCTCTCCTCCTTGTATACTTCACAGTCTACTAGGACATGGTTGGTGGTACATTCTTCTCCATACTCACAGACGATGACTTGGTGTTTGAAGTCTCGCAGCTGCTCTTTCACCCTTAGTTTCGATATATCTCTTCTAGGGTGACTGATTGCTGTCTTCGTGTAGATCTTGTCATTCAGCTGGAATCTGTATGTGTGAAGTTCAACGAGCTTTAGTTCCCAGATTGAATTGACCTGTCATTTTACCATACTGTAGATTTCCGTGGTGCTGTATTCTATGGTGTGGAGTGGTGCTGTGTCCCTGAGACCTTCGTTGGCGAGTTGATCTGCCTCCTCGTTCCTCTGGAACAGCTGCCTGATTTCCAAAAAGACTTCTGGTCTTGAGTCAGAGTTGTCATTTTGGATTGAAATCAGACTGCTCAGAGAGTCGCTTGGAATGACAAACTTACTAGTCTTTTGATGGGGGATCCATGAAATAGCATCACGGATGGCCACAATAGTTAACAAAAATGTGGTGCAATATATAGATGAACACTTTTGAAGCCATTTAGCAAATACCCCCCCCCCCCCGATGGTTTTTACTTGTTATCGACGATATATTACATATTTGATCTGGTTAATTAATTGTTATTATTGGTTTATCTGCTAAAATGGCTTCTACTTGTTGTCTATATATTACATCTTTCATCTTGTTAATTCATTTCTTGTAATTGTTATATCTGCTAAATGGCTTCCAAAGTGTTCATCTATATATTGCACTAATCATTATTTGCTTGATAACGATACCTGTATGTGTATTGAAACGTAGTACTAGTATGTTAATAAAATTCAGAAGTAGTATATCCATATAAGTGTGTTAATTTTTAATTCATAATCATTTTATTCTGTTGATAATGCATGTGTTTTACTGCAATAATGCAAGTTGCTGACTATATAATACAAATTGTTAATTTGATAATGAAAACTGTTGATTATGACAATAAATATGGTTGATTATGATGAAAATAAATATGGTTGATTATGACAATGAACATTGTTGATTATGATAATGAACATTGTTGATTATGATAATGAAAATTGTTGATTATGACAATTAACATGGTTGATTATGACAATAAATACGGTTGATTATGACAATAAACATAGTTGATTATGACAAAGAACATTGTTGATTATGTTAATGAACATGGTTGATAACCATAATGAACATGATTGATTATCATAATGAACATGGTTGAGTATCATAATGAACATAGTTGATTATCATAATTAGGCTTGTCACGATTAATCGGTTTAGTCGTAGTCGATTCGGTTTCTAACTCAAACCAATTCACATTTTGAAAAATCGGTAGTCTTTCATCCAATTTATATTTATACAATTACATATAATGTTTGACTTTTACTGTCTGCTAAACACACTGCTGAATTGCTGCCTATTAAAACCGTATGGAAACTAACTTACTTGCGGACACCTGTTACCACTGTTTGTTGTGTATTTTGTACATGGTGAAAAGTCCATATGCTGATAACACTATTTTGCCTGATTACACTATTTTGCCTGATTACACTATTTTGCCTATACCGTTTTTTTTAGGACTTCTAATTTTGTCTAATGGTTTGGATTGTTCGTACTTGGTTTTATTTTATTTTGAGACTCTATACAGAAATTCCCATTTACAGTGGCACGATCTCAATGTCGCATGAAATTCTTTGCCTAACATATTAGGCATGGCTTACTACAAAATATGTAAACGGACAGTAACAGACATGATAATATCATGGGCATTAGAATACATGGACTGAATGCATGCCGAACGAGGCGGGGAAGTTGGCTATGCCTTTTTACGGGTGATAAATTGCCAATGTAATTTTAATAAATTATCGTTTTATAAAGAAGAAAACAATGCTCCAACGGAGTGCAACAATATAATTGAAAGATTCCCTCAGAAATTCCTCCAGTACAAATTAATTTTAAATCCAGTTGTAATTTATTATTCAGTTGACAATCAGAATGTGCCGTTACTGTGTACTAGACAACGAATAAACGAGTTGCTGGCATTACCAGTCAGGAGGATCTTCTATTCGCCCCCCTCGGCATATGTTGCCGCCTTTTTAAATGACACCTTTTTTTTTCTATTTGTACCGTCTTCTGCGACTTCTCTTGTTGTTTTTCGTCAATATGATTATCGCTATATATGTTAAAATATTATGTACGGGAATTGTTGTACTAGTGAATTGTAATCTATTGCCAGTATTTGATTTTCAATTAACAGTTAAAGCTGTAGGGTTAAGTCAGAACACAGAAATGTCTTACTCAGCTCAACCGCGTAACTAAATATCAAAACTAATGACTTAGTAAATGTTGTTTATTGCCAATTTAAACTATTTATCCCAACATCTCTTTAGCACAAACTCAACGAAATGTACTACAGTAATATAGAATCAGTTATTCAGTGTTCACACGTCATTTTATAATTTAATTATCAACAAACAATTACAAGAAAAAAAACTCGGAACGCAGAAAGACATTGACATTATAGAATTTATATGGCATCCGATTAATCGGCACTGATACGATTTTTGGCTGGCCGATTAACCGATTCAAGAATTTTGTAATCGTGACAACACTAATCATAATGGATTATGAGACAGCAAATATTTATTAATATATATTTATTACTTACTGTGGACAGCTATCGGTAGATTTAAATATTCCTTCAACAGTTTCATTTAATAAATGCAATAAATTATCAACATTAACTTTAGCCTCTGACGGTGTTTCCATTTTGGCTGGATCTAACTGAAAAAGTAAAAGAATTGTTGCTGCATTGTGAATGTTTAGGAAAATAAAGATAGGTTGCCAGGCAACAAAACATACGCCCACAGCAGCTAAATCGTCCGAGCGGTCGTCAAGGGTTGTCGCATATTTATTCCTTTGTAGGTAATTGGGGGTCTTTACAAGACAGTTTCATACAGATCAGATTATAAATTTTGTCGTTTGAGGGTTTACAAGGTTCTAGAAACTGAAACAAGGGTCTCAACTCTGGAAGTAATCTACAGAAATTTGACAGGCTTTTTCGTTTTACTAATTTAAATAATGCATATAAATTTCATACAGATCACATGATCACTTTTGTCATTCAAACGTTCACAATCGCCATAACTCTATAAATTTCATACATATCGGATGATAACTATCATCAATCGAGCATTAACAAGGTTTAACAAAGTGAAACAAGGGCAATAACTCTAGAAGTAATTATTGTAAATTGCTGAAATTCAATAGGCTTTTTCGTTTCACTAATTTAAATCATGCATATAAATTTCACAAAGATCGGGTGGGTGATAACTTTTTGCGTTAGAGCGTTCACAAGGATCAGTAAAGTGAAACAAGGGCCATAACTCTAGACGTAATAAACAGAAATTGCTGAAATTCAATAGGCTTCTCCGTTTCACTAATCTAAATAATGAATGTAAATTTCAGAAAGATCGGATGATAACTTTTTGGAGTTAGAGCGTTCACAAGGTTCAATAAAGTGAAACAAGGGTCATAACTCTAGACGTAATAAACGGAAATTGCTGAAATTCAATAGGATTCTTCATCTCACTAATTTAAATAATGCATACCATTTTCAGAAAGATCGGATAATAACTTTTGAAGTTAGAGCGTTCACAAGGATCAATAAAGTGAAACAAGGGCCATAACTCTAGACGTAATAAACGGGAATTGCTGACATTCAATAGGCTTCTTCGTTTCAGCAATCTAAATAATGCACATAAATTTCAGAAAGATCAGATGATAACTTTTGACGTGAGAGCGTTCACAATGATCAATAAAGTGAAACAAGGGCCATAACTCTAGACGTAACAAACGGAAATTGCCGAAATTCAATAGGCTTCTTCGTTTCAGTAATCTAAATAATGCTTATCAATTTCAGAAAGATCGGATGATAACTTTTGGCGTTAGAGCGTTCACAAGGTTCAATAAAGTGAAACAAGGGCCATAACTCTAGACGTAATAAATGGAAATTGCTGAAATTCAATAGGCTTCTTCATCTCACTAATGTAAAAAACATATATCAATTTTAAAACAATTGGATGATATTATTTATGGCGTTAGAGCGTTCACAAGAAATTGTGGACGATGGACGGACGGGGGCGACGGCAATATACGTCCACATTTCAATGTGGGCGTATAAAAAGCAATCAAGCAATCAAGGAACTTATAGAAATTTCAAAAAGATGACATGAATGCTGCAAAGTATCATATTAATAAATAGATCATACAGAATAAAAAAATGGAAAGTCTCACTAATACCAAGAACAAGGAGTTAAAAATATGAATATTCTTACTTCACAAGACTGTTTACTATCCATAATTTTTTGCACAGTATTTTTCACTGCTGCGTGTACAAAAGATGTGCAAGTCATTCTCATATACTGATCCATCATAGTTGTTGTAAATGAAGTAGCTCTAAATAATGTAGACACTTCCTCTGTAAAAAAATATAATATTATATTTAGTGTTGTGTGAAGGTGACATGATCCTAAATTATCTAAATCAAATATATATTCAGGTGTGATGGTCCTAAATAAAACCAGCGGCTGCCAGGCAGGATACTCCCATATTTTCAAGAGATGGATAGAGAACAAGCTAAAAAGAAAGTGATTTTTCCTACAATCAAGGGCCATAATTCAGGAAATTACAATTCGAGATCTTTGGGTTATAAACTTACATTTCAAGTTTCAACAAAATCGGATAAAAATTGTGACCTCTATAGGGTCCACAACCTTGATATACCATATTTTTACACTATTTGAGAACAAGGGGCGGTCATTTTGTCTGTCAGTTTTAGGGTCCACAACCTTGATATACCATATTTTTTACGCTATTGTCGGTCAGTTTTGGGCCGATTTTTACGAAATTCGAACTCAGCCGTCCTTATGGTTTAACGGTGATATAATAATACTGTTTTTTAAATCAGATAAAAATTATGATCTCTATAGGGTCCACAAGCTAAAAACGTGATTTTTCGTACAATCAGGGGCTATAATTCAGGAAGTTATGGTCTGATATGCGCGAATATCGAAAGGAACTGAGATCTTTGGGTTATAAGCATACATTTCAAGTTTAAACCAAATCGGATAAAAATTGTGACCTCTACAGTGTTCACAAGCTAAAAACGTGATTTTTCGTACAATCAGTGGCCATAATCCATGAAGTTACAGTTACAGTCCGATACATGCCAATATCGAAATGAAATGAAATGAAATGTTGTTTAATGGCACGTCAGCTCCAACCGGGCTATATTGCGCCAAACATATGGTGAATCTAACGAGACAAATTAAAACAATATCACATAATTGAATTTATATATGTAAATAAAAACAAATATCACAGAAAATATATAATTAAAAATAAATATAACAAATCTTTTACATATATAAATATTTAAAACAATATACATGATTAAATATATACAATTAAAATTGAGAATAAAAGTTTATCATATAGCTCCGGTTGAGCAAATAGCTGACGTAATGACTGGCAACGGTAGTATTTAGATCTAATATACTTGAGATGTTTGCACTCAATCAAGATGTGGCTCACTGTCAAAGGAACATGACAGTGAACACATTCCGGTTGAGGCTCTCGCTTCAAAATGAAAATATGAGATAAAAAAGTATGACCAATGCGAGAGCGACACAAAACAACTTCATCTCTCCTGTTAGACCTGTAGGAGCTTGGCCATTCTCCAAGGAGAGGCTTTATGTGATGAAGTTTGTTTGTGCCTGCAAGATCCCAAGACCGTTGCCAGCGGTAATAAATAAAATTATTTATACAGGATTTAAAATCCGTGTATGGCGTTAAAAATTCGAATAAGGGAAGATCTAAGGCAGACTTGGCAGCCAAATCTGCTTGATCATTCCCTTTTATATCCATGTGACTGGGGAGCCAGCAAAGGACAATGTCCTTGCTGATGAACTCGTTTGATAGTAACAGACCATAAATGTCTGCTACTAATGGGTGTTCAAACTGTTTATTATTTATTTATTGCTTGTAGTGAGGACAAAGAATCAGTAAAAATTATATATTTTAAATCAGATGTTGATTGAATGAACTCCAAAGCCTGAAGAATGGCCTTGAGTTCAGCTGTAAAGATGGAAGCAGCAGGTGGAAGGCGGACAGAAATGGTCTCAGATGGTGTCACGGTAGCCGAAGCTACCCGATCACCATCTTTCGAACCATCTGTATAAATTGGAGCATAATCAACATATTTAGACCTCAGCTCTCGAAAGAGAGACTGAAACACCGTAGAGCTAGTATCTCTCTTTTTATGTTGTGTAAGATGGAAATCAATCTTTGGGGGAGATATAGCCCACGGTGGAGTCCTAAAGAAAGGGGTATTCGCAATACTGTCCAGGCTGATACCAGCCTCCGACAAAAGGGGTTGTATGCGAATACCGAAAGGTGGAATAACTTTAGTCTTAAGCAGATATAGATGCTCATGATATGGTCTAAATATGGTGTTAAATGAAATATGATTTGGTAAAGATGCTATTTTCGTAGCATACTGCAGGGCCAGTTTATCACGTCTGTTGTGCAGTGAGGGCTCATGCGCCTCGACGTATAAACTTTCCACTGGAGATGTACGAAATGCTCCTAAACTGATTCTAAGTCCTTGGTTGTGTATGGTGTCGAGCTCTTTGAGATAAGACTCGCGGGCAGACCCATACACAATACACCCATAATCGAGTTTTGATCTTATTAAAGCTCGATATAATCGGAGCAAGACCTTACGGTCTGCTCCCCAGTCAGTATTTGATAAGACTCTCAATATGTTGAGGGCTTTCAGACATTTCTTTTTTAGGCTTTTAATGTGGGGGATAAATGATAATTTCTTATCAAATATCAGCCCAAGAAATTTGGTTTCATCCACAACTGGAAGGCGGTTGCCATCCAAATAAAGTTCTGGATCTGGATGCAAACCTCGTTTCTGACAGAAATGCATGCAGACAGTCTTGGATTTCGAAAAACGAAATCCATTTTCGGTTGCCCATTGTTGAAGTGAATTCAAACAAAGCTGCAACTTACGTTCGATTATCCGCATGTCTGTAGAACCATAGCATATCTGAAAGTCATCAACATAAAGAGCGCTGTTTGTACCTGGTTTAAGGCACGCTGGGATGGTATTAATTTTTATTGCAAAGAGTGTTGGAGACAATATGCTTCCCTGAGGAACTCCCATTTCCTGAGGACATGGGTCAGAGAATATTGATCCCAGGCGTACCTTAAATGACCTATCTTCCAGGAAATTTTTAATGAAGACAGGTAAGCGACCTCGTAGGCCGAGGTTATGGAGGTCGCGCATGATACCATGTTTCCACGTGGTATCATATGCTTTCTCCAGATCGAAAAATATTGCAACTAAATGTTGCTTCTGGATGAAAGCGTCCCTGACGAACGTTTCAAATCGAATGAGATGATCAAGAGTGCTCCTTTGGGACCGAAATCCACATTGGAGGTCTGTAATGAGGTTGTTGGACTCAAGGTACCAAACAAGCCTTCGATTGATCAATCTCTCCATGGTTTTGCAAATACAGCTAGTTAAAGCGATCGGACGATAGTTGTTAGGATTCGAATGATCTTTACCCGGTTTAGGGATGGGAATTATTGTGGCTTCATGCCACGAAGGAGGGAAATTGCCATCAACCCAAATCCGGTTAAAAAGATCTAATAAAATTAGGAGAGTTGGAAAAGGTAAATGTTTAAGAATTTGGTAATGAATTTCATCTGGACCAGTTGCAGTGTCACGAGCTCGTTTTAATGAATCCCGGAGCTCAGCAACAGAGAAATTTCCATTGTAGCATTCATCATTGCGGGACTTGAAATTAAGTCGCCTTTTCTCCTGTTGTGCTTTAATGCCCCGAAAGGCATCAGAGGAGAAATTGGATGATGAATTGAATGAGATACTACTGGCCAGAGAATTAGCAATATCAGGAAGTGTTGTTAAGGTGGTATTATCAACATTTAGATGGTTAACTGATAATGCACTACTTTTACCTTTAATCCTACGAATCCTATCCCATACCGATTTGGATGTTGTACGGGAATTGATCCTAGAGACGTAACCTTGCCATGAAGACTTCTTTGCTTGACGTATGGTTCTACGGGCCTTCGCCCGGACCATCTGGTATGCCGCAATATTCTCCATGGAAGGATGGTTCTTTAATTGTCTCAAGATACGATCACGCTCTTTTAGAGCGGATTTGCAATCGTCATTATACCATGGTTTATTGAAACGTTTTGGTTTAGTCGTGGTTTGTGGAATCGCCTGCTCAGCTACATCTTGAAGAATTGAAGTGAATAAGGCCATGGGCTCATCTGCATCTTCTAACTCCTTTGCATCAAAAGAGAAGAGACACAGAGATTCAAATAGAGCCCAGTCAGCCTTATGCAACTTCCACCTCTGAGGTCTTTCGACCGGAGAGGGACCATTGTTTTCAATTACAATAGGAAAATGGTCGCTACCAAACAGATCTTCATTTACCCTCCATGTAAAATCCTGAAACAAGACCGGAGAGCAAATGGTGAGATCTAAGGAAGAAAAAGAAGCTGTGGCAGGATGTAGATAAGTAGGCGAGTCATCATTTAATAAACACAAATTATTAATATTAATGAAGTCCGCTATTTGTTTACCTCTGTTGTTATCATCTGGACTACCCCAGAGTGAATGATGACCATTGAAATCTCCCGTAATAATAAAAGGGAGAGGGAGTTGTGCAACAAGGTCATCAAGATCTCTGGGATTAAGATGTAAACTTGGTGGAAGATAAATAGAACAGAGTGTAATAGGAATATGCAAAGTCACCCTTACCTCAACTGCCTGTAAAGGCGAGATGAGGGTGACTTGACTCTGAGGGATATCTCCATTAAGAATAATAGAAACACCCCCATGAGCTCTACCATCACCAACTGCATGATGATGGAAACCAACAAAGTGTCTAAAAGACAAAGTGTCAGAATTCCTCAAGAATGTTTCCTGTAAACAAATAGCTAAAGGGTTGTAATTTTGAATTAAAAGTTGAACTTCATTAAAATTTGGTTTTAAACCACGACAATTCCATTGAATAATGGAATTGACCATTGTCAGGGATAGTTAATTTTTGGCGGCTTACTGACGGGGTCCTTATGGACATCCGCTACAGTAATGCCGTCCATCAGATCATCCCCATATCTATTATAGAGAGCAATAGGGTTTTGTGAACCCTTTTTCTCTTTATCACGCATCTTTGCCAATTTCTTTTCTTTCTTAGAAAGAACTTCTTGTGTAGGTGGAATACCCTTTGGCTGCGAACTTGACCCAGCAGAATTGGAATCAAGAGTAACAACTTCAGGGGGCAAGGGAGCGGGCTCCTTGCCGTTCTGGTTAGAAGTGTTGGGAATGGTCCCAACATCTTCAGTTTGAGGCAAGGAAGATGAGTCCTTGCCAGACAAAGATTTAATAATTTTATCCGAGCTCTCACTCGTTTGAGAAGAGCTGGATACCCCTTTAATATGATCTGATGTTAAAAGTTTAGGCATTTTCTCTTTTCTGGGCCAGGTTAGGTCAGTCTGAACAGAAATTGATTTTGTAGAAACTTTTGCAGCACTTGCGAAAGATTTCCCTTGTTGTGCAATGGGAAAAATTGCTGTAAGCTCTACTTGCTTTCTAGCATCAAAATATGGTATTTTCCGTTCAGACATAATCTGTTGGATTCGTTTCTCTTTCTGCCAAATGGGACATTCGCGAGAGTAAGCAAAGTGCTTACCCTTGCAGTTAACACAACAAAAATCCGCCTGGCAGGTAGCACTCTCGTGGCCATCAAGACCACAACGAGCGCAGGTGTCTTTACCTCTGCAGACGGTTTTGCTGTGTCCAAACTTTTGGCATTTGTAACAGCGAAGAGGGTTGGAAATGTACGAATCAACAGGTATGTTAAGATAACCTGCCTTGAGAGTCTTTGGTATTTCGGGACGATTGAAAGTGAGGATATAGGTGCTTGTAGCAATCACCTTATCTCCCCGGCGTACGCTAATCCTTTTTACATGCGAGACGCCTTGAGAAGAAAGGTATTCCACCATTTCATCCTCACTGCTGCCTTCAAGATCCCGACAGCGAATAACTCCTCTACTTGAATTTAATGACCTATGCGGCGACACCTTGATAGGAATGTCTGCTAAGGATGTGGATTTAAGCAGCATGGTTGCATGCTGTTCCTTAGCACATTCTATCAGGAGTGTCCCGTTTTTTAGTTTTTTGATAGCCTTGGGCTCACCAGCCAGGCCAGCTATGCCCTTGGTTATCAAAAAGGGTGAAATTTTTGAGAGGTCGGTAGAGGGACTCTCAATTAAGAGAAACCTCGGCCATGCCTTCATAATTTTTTGGGGGGTATTAAATAAATTCGAAACGTCCTCTGTATTAGGACGTTTCTGTTTTTTATTTCTTTCTTTAATTGATGTGGGGGGGATTGGGGAATCCATAAATATGTTTTTTTAAATTCACCCCTCGTCGTCCCCCAGGTTACTTCCCTGCCTACCAGGGGGAGGACTAGCACGGATATCCGGTGCATGGCCTCAGGGCTCGACGAGGGGTATACTCAAGCCAGAAAGTATAAATACTTAGCCAACCTGATTGACCCAAGCCGCCGCTCTGTAGAATGTACTCAGGACACAAAGGTAAATTTGCTGAGTGAAAACAACAAAGCAATGGAATTGGAAAAAACGTACATTCTACAGAGCTAAAAAACGACCAAAGCCGATTGATCAGAGTGGGCCACTCTAACCTCCCGTCTAGGTGAACCATGGGCCAAAGTAATGTGTTGCAGAGAAAGGGCTCGCAAACCAAATCCCCACTCAATTACCAGGATTCCACTCTCCACCGACACAGGTCGCAACGCACGGCAAACACGTTGCCCCATTACGGGATCCTTTTAGTCGCCTTTTACGACACGCAGGACATACGAAGGGTATATTCTTATCACCCCCTACACCCCAGGGGGGATATCGAAATGAACCGAGATCTTAGGGTGATAAACCTATATTTCAAGTTTCATTGAAATCGGAAAAAAATTGTGACCTGTAGACTGTTCACAAACAATTGTGGATGGACGGACGGACGGACAGGGGTGTCGACAAGATACGTCCGCATGAAAATGTGGGCGTATAAAAATTATATTCAGACATGTGATAGTCCTACATAAAAAATTATATTCTAAGGTGTGATGGTCCTAATTCAAAAATATATTCAGAGGTGTGATGGTTCTAAATAAATATATTCAGAGGTGTGATGGGCCTATATTAAAAATATATTTAGAGGTGTGTGCAGATATGATGGTCCTACATCAAAAACATATGCAGCCGTGTGTTCAGGTGGGATGGTACTATATAAAAGAATATTTAGCCGTGTGTGCAGATGGGATGGTCCTATATTAAAGATATATTTAGCTGTGCATGCAGGTGGGATGGTCCTATATTAAACATATATTTAGCCTTGTGTGCAGGTGAGATATTCCTGTATTATTGATATATTTAGCAGTGTGTGCAGGTGAGATAGTCCTATATTAAAGATTTATTAAAAGATACATTATGTGAGATTTGTAGAGAGCTGGTAGTTCTCACTATAATAGTTAAAAACTAGATAATGTAAAGGGAATTTGCTAAAAATTTCAGTCAAATTGATCCACTCTGAACCAAGATTTTAGCGATTGAATTTTGGGTCTAGCCTCAATCATCATTACTAAATTCGGTATGATAAAAAACATGGTCTCGATTATGCATTTTTTTTATTTAATTATAAATGAGCGTTAAGCAGCAGATAGGATTCTAATCCAGAAAATATCGCAGGCTAAGTTAATTAATGTCTAATTAATAATTTAGATAACATTTCAGGCCCAAAGAAAGACCTGCAATTGGCAGATTCAGTTCTTGCATAATGTATATTTAACCGTGTGTGCAGGTGGGATGGTCCTATATTAAAAATATATCTAGCTGTGTGAGCAGGTGGGATAGTTCCATATTAATAAAGATATATTTAGCCGTGTGTGCAGGTGGGAAGGTCCTATAATAAAGATATATTTAGCCTTGTGTGCAAGTGGGAAGGTCCTATATTTAAGATATATTTAGCCGTGTGTGCAGGCGGGATAGTCCTATATTAAAGATATATTTAACTGTGTGTGCAGGTGGGATGGTCCTATAATAAAGATACATTTCCTTGACAGTCGCAATCCTAAATTCATAATCATCAACGGGGAAATATATACAAACTACAATTAAAAACATATCTGTCTAGATACTTCAAGACATAATATTTTGACAATCTACAAATCTTAACATAGCTGCCATTATGTATTAGTAACATGCATAATCAAGATTTGTAAACCATCTGGAAGAGAGATTAGTAAGTGAATTTTAAAAGGAATCAAGGGACAGGATGTTAATGTAGTTAAAACAACTGAATAAACATACCTTCTTTTTCTATTTCCAGATCATTTAAAATATTTAGAACCTGATTTTCCAGTCTTTCATATCGATAAATTCGTAAACAAGCTTTAGATAGAGGTATCCATTCATTAGCTTGACAATATCCAGCTAAGGCTATCAAATGTTTAAAATTATCACAAAGTAGTAACTGAAATAAAGTTTAAATAAAAAATATATGATAATCTGCAGATCCATTCACTTAATTTGATATTTGTGACCGCCCCCCATAGCATACTGAGTCACAATGAGGAAATTTTGAAAATTGAGTTATTGTTATTTTCACATTCTCCAACTCATTACCTTCAATTTGATGTATAGTTTGTTTGAATTAGGCAAAAATTGACTGAGCTGTGTCCATTAGAAGGTACCCAACTCACAAAATTAAGTTTTGAGAAAAAGCAAGTCAAAGATTTGGTATGTTCCAAAACAAAATCCCATAGCAACCAGGCCATTTATTTGCTGTTTTGTCGTTGAATATATCTTTCCATGGGTTTTCAGGGGTGCTGAAGACGAAAATCGTAGTAAAAATATAATCCGACTATTTCCACAATTTATTTGCTATTTTCTCGTTTAATATGTTTTTTATTTAGGATTTCAAGGGTGCTGACGACGAAAATCGTAATAAATGCACTCCTTTCGTAATGAAACATCCACAACACATATGACATAATATTCACATGATAGTGTTATACTGAAGAATAATCTATACATTAGTAGCCTGTTGTGTATATTAAAACTTTGATAAGATTAACTCAGTTAATCTCATCAATTAATTAGCACCTTAGTGCCAGCTAGTGGTCAGGAGATTAAGATTGTTGATTGGATAATCATCAAAGAAGCTGCCACAGCTGTACGCATGTTCATTTAACACATGAATTAAAATCAGATTTTGCGTGTACGATAGGTCTATTATTATTTTCAGGTACTGTGACGTTATCAAAATATGAGTCCTTATAGAAATGTCAATTTCATAGTCAAGAAATGCTTACGTTCACTTTCGTGCATTTTGGCTTTGATGTAAATAACAACATTATTCAGAGGATACTCAAAGGCAGACTCGAGAATCGTCGCATTTCGGATCGTTGGTTGTTCTCATTTTTTCGCCAAATGGTGATAAGAGAATTTTAAACAATAATATCCAAGATGCATTCCTTACTTTGCATGCCATATGAAGAAGCGACAGTAAACGGAATTCAGCTATCAATAAAATTTTCTTTGAAAAGAAAATTATTGTCCAATTTGTTTATTTCAATTTAAGGCCTATAGATTATTTTTTTAAAGATGATATGAGATATCAAATAATCACCACTTGGATTAATTTTTGGAGTAAATAATGGGTTCTCAACGGCTTTATCATTGACCCGTGACAGTTGATTAGTAATAGTATTACCCAATGACACACACCCGCTTGTTGATTAATTTACATAATCAGCCACATGGTTTCGATTAACAATCAACAGCAATTAATCAGAATTAATTTTTTTTCTGCCATTTATCAGAGTGAATCGTATGTAGGTACCCCAAAACATTATGACCAAAACCAAATATTTATCGATAATGCCTTGCCTGCGGTGTCTGGGCCAATCAGCAAACGAGTTGTGTAGACAGCATGGCAAAAGGCGGAGTTTATTTATATATTTTTGGGGGTTTTAAAACTCGATTGTATCCGTTCAAAATCAATTCATCGCCAATATTTTGATCGTATTTGTAAACTAGAGATACTCCGCTTTACAACGATGCCAATTATTATGCAAGAGGAATGACGGGTCTTCCCGCTGCGAGCGAAGAAAAATAACCCATTTCGCCAAGAATTTTAAGAAATAGGACAGATTTAAGAATACGGTACTCTTGCAAAACGTTCAAATACAGGTGTTTTAAAATGTTTTATTGCTATTTTGATCTTTTGTGTTGATAGATAGTATATTTATAGTCTCATTTTTGTGAAAATCTCAATTTCAATCAAAATCAATATTTTAACTTATTTTGTCTTTATCTCATTATTGATTCGTGTGCATTTCGACTCATTTAGCTGTGGCCAGTCACATTTTTTGTTTTTTTCTTGCAATGTCTATGTAGTATGTCTTGTCTGCAGGTTTGTCTTATCGGTTTTGTTTTGTGTGTAGTTTGGTTGCTCCTCCTACACTTACTATTAAAGAGGAAATCAGTATGGTTAGGTTAGTATATCATTAAATTACCATAGCGATAGCAAAATTATGAAATTGATAACTATCCATATTACAAGCTTTTGAAGAATATTTCTTTGCTAATTCAAGCCCAAATGCATAAGAAGGCTAATAGTCAATTATTGTCATTCTGAAAATGTAACAAAAAATAAGGATTGAAAAGTGTTCTGATTAAAAGACAATGATGTCATCATTTTTATACATCAATCAGTTCAATTGTTCAGGAGTTGCAAAAACCCAATAAAATCTCACTGAAGGAATGATTTGTTCTTTTGATGTTATATTACAGGAGTTATTGCTCGTGATATGAGTATATTTGAATAGGGAGACCATATTCTGCGAATTTTGTAATAAGACTACGATAGTTTGATGGCCATCCCATATCTCTTTTTAATTTAAATGGACTGAAAATCTATACTAGCATCTTGGAATATTGCATCAAAGTGTATTGAATTGAACAGAACTACATATTTTCATATCTTTAATATTGTTTGTATCATAAATGAAATGTCCTACCTCCTTTAAACTGGTATATTCTTCTTGTGGCATAATTATTTCTTGAGAATATGAAGCTTTTACACGTAATGTTCCCAGATCACCTTTATACGTTGAATTACATGGTTGTAACATATATTTTTGTTCAATCATATCTGTATTTTCTAATTCACTTAAATTAACTGTTACATGAGCTGAAACAAGATATAAACAAATATAAACTGTTTCTATATCATTCAATGATCCCTATCCTAAAGTGTTCAGTTAAGTCATAAATGTTTTTTGTAATGCAGTGGACCAACAAATCTCCCTGCCAAATATTTCTTTAGTAAAGTGCCTTACTGTAGGCTTGTATTCTACTGCCGGCCACCAAAATATCCAACAGTTTAATAGTCAAATAACCATTTGTAAAAATCTTCTGATAATAACAAAATAATACTGTCTTCAATCCATACATATGTATGTCTTAGAAGATAGTCAGAAGAGAGAAATATCAGGTTAATATTGGATATTCAGTTCATTTAAAAAATCTCACAAGCAATTGTGAATTAAACCAGCGGCTGCCGGGCAGGATACGCCTACATTTTTCAAGAGATGGATAGAGAACAAGCTAAACAAAAAGCGATTTTTCGTAACATCAAGGGCCATAATTCAGGAAGGTACGATCAGATATGTGCGAATATCAACAGGAACCAAGATCTTTGGGTTATAAACATGCATTTCAAGTTTCATTAAAATCGGATCAAAATTGTGACCTATATAGGGTCCACAACCTTGATATATACCAGATGTTTACACTATTTGCGTAGAGGGGTGGCAATTTTCTCTGGCAGTTTTCATCCAATTTTCACGAAAGTCAAACTCAACCAACATTACGGTGCAACGGTGATATATTTGAACGTTTTTGTAAATCAGATAATAATTGTGGACCACAAGCTAAAAACAGGATTTCTCATACAATCAGGGGCCATAATTCAGGAAGTTACGATCTGATATGCACAAATATTGACAGCAACCAAGATCTTTGGATAATAAACATGCATTTCAAGTTTTATCAAAATTGGATCATAATTGTGAGCTCTACTCCTCTAGAGGTTCCACAAACTTGATATACCAGATGTTTACACTATTTGCGTAGACGGGCGGCCATTTTGTCTGGCAGTTTGATCCGATTTTCATGAAATTCGAACTCAACCAACAATACAGTGTAATGGTGACATATTCAAACAGTTTTTTAAATCAGATAATAATTGTGACTTCTTGAGGGACCACAAGCTAAAAACGCGATTTTTCGTACAATCAGTGAACATAATGCAGGAAGTTACGATCTGATATGCGCATATATCAAAAGCAACCAAGATCTTTGGGTTATAAACATGCATTTCAAGTTTCATCAAAGTCCACAACCTTGATATACCATATTTTTACACTATGTGCGTACGAGGGGCGGCCATTTTGTCTGGCAGTTTTGGTCCGATTTTCACGAAATTCAAACTCAACCATCATTAGGGTGTAACAGTGATATAATCAAAACGGTTCTTTAAACTGGATAAAAATTGTTAACTCTAGAGGGACCGCAAGCTTAAAAAGCAATTTTTTATACGATCAAGGGCCATAATTCAGGAAGTTACGATCTGATATATGCGCGAATATCGAAAGGAACCAAGACCTTTGTGATATAAGCATAAATTTAAGGTTGCATCAAAATCAGAAAAAAATTGTGGCCTCCAGAGGGTCTACATTCTTGATATATCACATATTTACACCATTTGCATTATACGAAGGGTGGCCATTTTGTCCGTCAGTTTTGGTCTGATTACCACGAAATTCGAACTCAACCATCATTACGGTGTAACAGTGATATATTTACACGTTTTTTTAATAAATCGGATAATAATTGTGACCTCTAGAGGGACCACAAGCAAAAAAAAGCGATTTTTCGTACAGTCAAGGGCCATAATTCAGGAAGTTACGATCCGATTTGCGCAAATATCGACAGGAACCAAGATCTTTGGGTTATAAACCTGTATTTCAAGTTTCATCATAATCGGATCAAAATTGTGAGCTCTAGAGGGCCCACAAGCTCGATATACCATATTTTTACATTGTTTGCATTCGCGGGGCGGCCATTTTGTCTGGCAGTTTTGGTCTGATTTTCAAGAAATTCGAACTCAACTGTCATTTCGGTGTAACGGTGATATATTCAAACGTTTTTTTTTAAACCAGAATAAAATTGTGACCTCCATAGGGTCCACAATCTAAAAAACGTGATTTTTCGTACAATCAGAGCCATAATTCAGGAAGTTACAGTCCGATATGCGTGAATATCGAAAGGCACCAAGATCTTTGGGTTTTAAACTTACATTTCATATTTCAACAAAATCAGATAAAAATTGTGACCTATATAGGGTCCACAATTATGGTCGGATTTTCACAAAATTCAAACTCAAGCCTCATTAAAGTGTAATGGTGATATTTTCAAACGTTTTTTTGAATCGGATAATAATAATGACCTCTAGATGGTCCACAAGCTAAAAACATGAATTTTCGTACAATCAGGGGCCATAATCCATGAATTTATGGTCCGATACAGGCAAATATCGAAAGGAACTGAGATCTTAGGGAGATTAACCTATATTTCAAGTTTCGTTGAAATCGGATAAAAAAGGTGACCTGTAGAGTATCCACAAACAAATTATAACCGAGATCTTAGGGAGATTAACCTATATTTCAAGTTTCGTTGAAATCGGATAAAAAAGGTGACCTGTAGAGTATCCACAAACAAATTATAACCAAGATCTTAGGGAGATTAACCTATATTTCAAGTTTCGTTGAAATCGGATAAAAAAGGTGACCTGTAGAGTATCCACAAACAAATTGTGGCATGGACGTCCACATGAAAATGTGGGCGTATAAAATTTTACAAGCAATTATGAATTAAAAAATCTCACAAGCAATTGTGAACTGTTAGAATTATTTTTTAGACATTTATTATATTTACATTCAATTTATTTGTTTAGTTCCACTTGACGTAACTTTATTTTACATATAGAATACGCTTTTATCTGAACAATAAAGTTGTAAAAGACAAACTTATGTTTGAATACTCGATCCATTTGATGTTTGGAATGTATATATTAAAGATATATTATGGGAGATTCGATAACGAGTTGGCAGTTCTCACTATAATAATTAAAAACTAGATAACGTAAAGGCAATTTGCTGAAAATTTCATTCAAATTGATCCACTATGAACCGAGAACTAAGCCAATAAAATTTTCTTCCTAGCCTCGGTCATCATTACTAAAGTCAGTACGTTAAACCGCATAGTCTCGATTATCCATTTAACCGTTTAATCGAGAAGGAAAGTTATGCAGTAAACCGGATCACAATCCACTTAAGATCGCAGGCTAGCGATGCCATATAGCGTTGATTATGGTCTGGATAAGTTAATTAATGTCTAATTAATAATTTAGATAACATTTCAGGCCTAAAGAAAGACCTGCAAAAGACAGATTTAGCTCTTGCATAATGTATGTTTAAAGTAAATGTTAGTACCACTAACCTATATCTGTAGAATTGCGCTTGCCTTTATTGCACACTGTAATTGCAAACTTTTCTGTTGTAGTTGGAATGTCACTGAAATATAAATAATCATTTTAAGGCCATATAAAAAATTATTCTGGTTCTCAGATAATCCAAAAATGTGCCATAGGCTCATTTATCAAGTATGCAACCCTGATAAATCTTACGGACAACGTTAATGACACTGGATAATCATACATTCCAATAAACAACATGCTGAGATAAATGTAGTGCCTTGAATGTGATGTTTATAAAAAGTCATTTAGCCCTCTACTGAGAGTTTGACAAAATAAAAATCTCCCTCCCACAGCAGATTTTGGGTAAGGATTGTCTGAGAACCAGAATATTTTTTTGTATGACTTAATAAAGGATTGTACATGTTTTTTTTACCTTCAAGAACAATTTTAGCTGACTATGTGTGGGCTTTTGGCATGACAATCTGTCGAGCATGGGCCCTATCAACTGCAAAGCATATTGCATGTATATCATGGGCTCACTGCAACTGATTAATTAAGATTTAAGGAAAATAAATAAAAAATAATTTGCAAGTATCTGGGCAATCTTATTCAATTAATATTGAAATGGATCTCACTGAAAAAATATTCCTGACATAGAGCAAGAAACACTTACTCTAATAAAAATTCTTCACCCCAAAAGACTTGTTTATCTTCTGAGACTTGAGTACGACATACTTTAACATTATCTAATGAAACACAGCAATATGGATGATGGAAGAGTTTTGTTTGTAATCGCTGAGCATCAATGATTTTAATGGTAAGGCTGCAGAATTTTTTCAACACTGATTTCTGCTTTCGGGTATTTTCACAGTGATTCTTTAATTCTTGGTACCATTTCTAATATTATACAAGAAAACAATTAAAACCAAAACATATTAAACTACACAGTGAGAATAATTTATCATCATTATTCAGCCTTTTATCATATTAATTATTGATTATGGTTATAAATTTAGAAAATGAAACAGTTTCCAATCTCCAGTAATGATGTTGTCTATCCCTCTTTCACATCAATTACTGTAAACAAATATTTGTCTTGCCAATTATTTCAAGAATAAAGAATTTACAAACTGCATATAAGAAATAAGGAGGTTGTTAAAATTCAACAAATTTGTAGATGAGGACAATATACCAAGGTGGTATATACATTTTTGTTTTAACTTATTGCAAACACAGGACACAGTTTGTTTTTATCAATTAATAACAGCATTTTAACAATAAAATCTTTATTTTGAGATATAGGAGAAAAATTTGGCTTGTGATTTTAAATCAGCAATTTGACACCAATATGGGCAATTCATGTACAAAGTTATGGCATTTTTTAAAAAGTGAAACGAATTTGAATAAAATCCTATACTATCTTGACAATAAAAAAGAACAACAATACCCCAGAATAATATAACCCACCTGAGCTGAATCTCCATTCTCAGCACATAAATAACAAATCTGAACATTGTTATTATTGTTATATTCACTAACTAACTGGAAACAATTTGGTCTGAAAAACAACAACAAATATTCAAGGTTATGATGTAAATGTATTCTGTATAAAGAGTAGTATATCAAGGTCATTTTTTTAAAATCTCAGATGAATCTGGGTAGCAAAAGACAACATTAGATATTATGCAAACTCAACTTAAACATTAACCATTTAATGGGCAGAATCCCAAATTGTTCTGGTTTTTTTTCCACATATATTTGGGAACAAAATGCAATTTAAACAATATTACAATAGATTTTCACCCAAATTTCCTCATTCTTAACACCATCCCAATAATGGGACACTGCCCACTATTGGTAGAATATTTTACAATGCATTAAAAGATGAATTGCTAGAAATAAATACATTATTCTCCCGAAAGTATATATCGGGTGGTTATTTCCAAAAAAAGTATGGCAAATTTGGTATACATGTATATGGAAAGTATATAATATATACACCCAATCTAACTAGAAAAATACTGGATTGCCTGAAAAACACCCATGGGGCAAGCACTGAGCAAAAATATCAGGATATCACTAACTGGCAACCCGACTGTTGTCTGCCAGCTTATTGTGTGCTAGCTTGACTGAGGGAGTGGTTGTTATTTCTTGAACAAATGTTTAGGCAGTTTTGGGAACACTGAGGGGAGTAAACATACAAAAGATTCTGCAATAAAATGACGGAAAAAGGAAGTTGACAGAAAATAATTAAGAATTTACTTACGCCTCAATATGTATGGTAAATGGACCGTAAGTAATGAAAAATACATTCTGAAAAATGGACCTTCTCTTAATGAAGTGAGGAGACTGTTATGGCTTCTAACAGCAGTTTATTTATAGCTTGAGGTATCTCACCGCGAGAACAAAGTTTTGAGAGGGATTTGAAGCAAATGTTTGATAGATTAGTTTGAATATGTTTTTAGTCCAAATATATCGTCAAATCACAAAGTTTGTACGTGGGAAAGTATTTTTAATATAAATCTAATTTTATTGACGATTAACATTTATTTTGTCTATGAACAAGTGGTTGCCTTGCTCATCCTCTCATTATCCCAATGCTTCATATTGAATATGAAAAAATAAGGTCTGTGGCAGTGATGGGATTTCAAAATATTTCTTGTCGGACATTTTACCGAAAATAAAGGGGCATAACTCTTATCGTTATTTAAGCAGACGAATTCGTACCACAATTAAAGGTCACATGTCAAAATATTCAAATCCCGTAAGTAATAAAAATAGGTGAAACTCGCTATTTTTCATATTTAATTCCCGTACAGTATTCAATTCATACCACAATTAAAAATTCAAATCCCGTACGTAATAAAAATAGGTAAAACTCGCTATTTTTCATATTTAATTCCCGTACAGTATTCAATTCATACCACAATCAAAAATCACATGTCAACAAAATATTCAAATCCCGTACGTAATAAAAATTGGTGACCTCGCTATTTTTCACACTTAATTCCCGTACGGCATTCAAATTTATGTCCGTAAATGTCCTACAAAATTAAGCATTTTCGTAATATGTTGAATGAAAGCTTGTCGATCCTGCTTAGGCATCAAATTCACAACCATAATATTCCTTTAGAATTATGTGTCTTCGTTTATACGGCAGAAAATGAATGCAGAACTTGCGAAATAGTTAAATCACTTGTAAACAGGCATCGCTAACTTCAGCGAATAACACTCTTTCATAGTCACGACAGAGTGACAGGCATCATAGGCAACACAGCAGAATGATTGACATGCTTCTTAATTCCCGCCTACAAATACGTTAGAATTTCTGCTCATATAGCTATTGGTAGCTCCTCCCCTTTTTGTTATTTTGCTGGGTGCGGTATAGCATCAACCAACTTCGTACTAGTCTCGGTCACCCAGAAACTCCTAGTCTTCAACATATTCGTAGAATATTTTTCTGGATAATAGAGACTAATAGCCTACGTGACCCAAATCACACAGCTTCATAGTAAGCACTGCCTAATACTATTATGTTAAAGCAATATTCGTGCTGCGCTTGAGATCAAGGGAAAGTGCCACTGTGGATGAAAATTTCTATATGGATTCTTAAAAGACGTAAAAGATATCGTAGACAAAATGACTCTTACGATATGTGACATCTATGATTCGTTTATTATAGATGCTGTTGGCTCACATCAATGCGATTAAGATGCCCGACAATTGAGAAACCACGCGGTAAACAGATGGATTAAAATTATAATCATTCTTATTGAATTGATGAATAGTCCGACAAAAGGAAAGCAATGACTTCTGTTTAAGATTAGATTGATGAATTGTCTGACAAAGGATTAAGTCAGTCAATCAAGGCAGATTAAGTAGTTAATCAAGGTAGGTTTATACTATAGATGGTATAACACGATAAATACGTTGATCACTTAATTACCTAATAAACCCAGCGTATTATCGACGATAAACGGGTTGAGTGGTAGTTATACACTCAGTAAACTATATTAATTTCGGAATTTTGAATATTATTCACCATGTCTTGATGTCCGATTGGGCATATTCCCGGTCGGACAATTTTGGGCGTTTGGAAAAAAGATCCGGACAAGTCCGGAATATACGGGCAAAATCCCATCACTGGTCTGTGGAAGAGGAAGATAACTCTAGAACGGAAGAACACAGGAACGTTGAATAATGTTTGTCCTCTCATGACCCCAAAGCTTCACACAGAATTTGAAAGAAATCCGTAATGGAAGGTTCTGGAATGCTGAATATCAGTAGTGATCGCCCTTGGATGAACCCAATGCTTCACACCAAATTTGAAAAAAATATGTTTAAAAACAACAGTCTCTATCACGTTAACACAATGACCTCATCACAATATTCAATTCATACGCTGCCCTTTAATGGGTTAATATAATTTATAACTCAACCACTCCCTCAGAGTTACTGGAATGTTGATACAAAAATCGTGCAAATTCGCCGTTCATTCAATCAAATACTTATCTGGAAACTATCAGGCAGACATACGAGGGGTGATTGATAAGTAGTGAGTCTAACACAGAAAGAAACAAGAAATTCAAATCAAATGCATTTATTTTTCAACATAGTCCCCCTTCAATGTAATACACTTCTGCCATTGGTGTTGCAGAGCCTTTATTCCAGTTCTGTAGAAGTCTTTGTCTTAGGTGTGTAGAAAATCATCCATAGCGGCAATGGCGTCAGACGGGAAATGCCTACTGGAAAGACATTTCTTCAGAGCAGGAAACAGATAGAAGTCTGAGGGAGCTAAATCAGGAGAGTAGGGTGGATGCTGAAGAAGTTGAAAACCACAGTCATGGATTGCTGACATGGCAACAGCTAATTTGTGCACTGGCTCATTGTCCTGGTGGAAAATCACACCTTTGGTCAGCTTTCCTCGACTTTTGGTCTTAATTTCTTGCCTCAACTGCCTTATAAGTGCTGCATAGTATCTACCGTTAATTGTTTGACCCTTTTGGAGGTAATCCACCATGAGAACACTCTCAGAATCCAAGAATACTGAGGCCATCAGCTTTCCTGCTGACGAAACTGTCTTTGCCTTCTTTGGGGTCGGCGACATCACATGTTTCCACTGTTTTGACTGCTCTTTTGTTTCTGGCTGAAAGTGTTGGACCCAAGTTTCATCCATAGTAACAATTTGTTTTAGGAAGCGTCAAAAGCTTTGGCACCCATCGTGCTGAAACCTTTGTCATTTCCAAAGTTTCAGTGATAATAGAATGAACTCTCTCCTGGCTTATACGAACTACCCCAGCTATAAATCGTTCAGTAACTCACCGGTCATTCATTATCAGATCATGGATTTTTTGTACCATTTCAGGTGGTGACACAGTTTTTAGTCGACCAGGGCGTGGTTCGTCGTCAATGCTGTCTCGGCCACGCTTGAATTCAGCTGACCACCTTTTAACTGTGGCATATGAAGGAGCATCATCTCCTAATGTCTCAACCATATCATCATGTATGGCTTTCGGTGTTAGACCCTTTTTATGCAGATACAACAGCTCTCGCCTCGATTGTTATGACGTGTCACAACCAAACAGTTTAACCGAATGTGATGAAAGTTTGTGACAGCCCGAGGAACATAATAGTGCACGTACAAAATGTGGTATCATTGTGTTGCATGGTTTTCCAATCGAGGCTCACTACTTATCAATCACCCCTCGTAAACCAGTCTGACTTCAGTGTAAAAATATAATCATCAATTTGAAATTTAAATACAAACCTTTCAAAAAAACTATCATGTACAGGATATAAAGAACTATAGTTGAATTCTACTAAACCTTTTGGCTTAGATCTCTGAAATATACAATTATGTAAATTAAAACGATGCATAAACACGAGCTAAAATGGGCCAAATTGCCCAATGGTTGGGTAGATTAGGCTATCGATATATTTGATCATTTGTCTATGCAAAAATGTCTACATTTGCCAGTTTTTATATTGTTCAAATTGTAAAGAAAATGTCTAATTTTTCCCCTACAAATTAAAAGTGTGCTCATAACCATCCCTAAAATTTAAGATACTCCAAAACAACCCGATAGGGAAAAGTAACATCATTTGAAGAAATCTGAATAGTCAGCAGTCATTAACTCAACAACATTATCATTTGATTGTAATCAATATTTGCCCTTGCGATTTTTCGTAACATCAAGGGCCATAATTCAGGAAGGTACGATCAGATATGTGCAAATATCGACAGGAACTAAGATCTTTGGGTTATAAACATGCATTTCAAGTTTCATTAAAATCGGATCAACCTTGATATATACCAGATGTTTACACTATTTGCGTAGAGGGACGGCCATTTTGTCTGGCAGTTTTTATCCGATTTTTACGAAAGTCAAACTCAACCAATATTACGGTGTATGGGGTGATATATTTGAATGTTTTTGTAAATCACACAATAATTGTGACCTCTAGAGGGACCACAAGCTAAAAACAGGATTTTTCGTACAATCTGGGGCCATAATACAGGAAGTTACGATCCGATATGCGCAAAAATCGACAGCAACCAAGATCTTTGGGTTATAAACATGCATTTCAAGTTTCATCAAAATCGGATCATAATTGTAAGCTCTTAGAGGTTCCACAAACTTGATATACCAGATGTTTACACTATTTGCATAGACGGGCGGCCATTTTGGTTCGATTTTCATGAAATTCGAACTCAACCAACAATACAGTGTAACCGTGACATATTCGAACAGTTTTTTAAATCAGATAATAATTGTGACCTCTTGAGGTACCACAAGCTAAAAACGCGATTTTTCGTACAATCAGGGGACATAATTCAGGAAGTTACGATCTTTGCGTTATAAACATGCATTTCAAGTTTCAGCAAAATCGGTTCAAAATCTTGACCTCTAGAGGATCCTCAACCTTGATATACCAGATGTTTACACTATTTGAGTAGAAGGAGGCCATTTTTTCTGGCAGTTTTCGTGCGATTTTCACCAAAATCGAACTCAACCAACATTACGGTGTAACGGTGACATATTCGAACGTTTATTTAAAATCAGATAATAATTGGGACCTCTTCAGGGACCACCAGCTAAAAACGTGATTTTTCGTACAATCAGGGGCCATAATTCAGGAAGTTACGATCCAATATGCGCGAATATCGAAAGGAACCAAGATCTTTCGGTTATAAACAAGCATTTAACGTTTCATCACAATTGGGTGAAAATTGTGACCTCTAGAGAGTCCAGACCTTGATATACCATATTTTTACACTATTAGCGTACAAGGGGCAGCCATTTTTTCAATTGGATAAAAATTGTTAACTCTGGAGGGACCACAAGTTTAAAACGCGATTTTTCGTACAGTCAAGGGCCATAATTCAGGAAGTTACAATCCGATATGCGCAAATATCGAAAGGAGAACCAAGATCTTTAGGTCACACATGTATTTCAAGTTTCATCAAAATCGGATCAAAATTGTGAGCGCTAGAGGGTCCACAACAGTGAAAGGATTTTGCCCGTATATTTTAATCTACGCGTTTACCTTGTGGCTTCTCCATTGTCGTACATTTTGATCCCACTGATGTGAGCCGACAATATGTATAAACTAATCATATATGTCACATATTGTAAGAGTATATACCACCCCAAATCAATATATTATCCGTTAACTTGTAAATCAATATATCCGTTAATGTGTCTGCGATATCACTTTAGTGGAAGCGGACGTTAAATAAAGCTATTTCACACACACACACACGTGGTTATAATACAATAATCGAAAACTAAAGTAGAAATCTCGCGAGACGCGTGAAATTACAAGAGATGTAAACATGACTATTATCACTTATAAATCAATATATCCGGTAATTTGTCTGCGTGTCAATTCGGTGAAAGCGGACGTTAAATAAAGCTATTTTACACAAACCCCCACACGTGGTTATAATACAATAATCGAAACCTAAAGTAGAAATCTCGCGAGACGCATGAAACTACAAGAGATGTAAACCTGACAGTTATCACGTCGTAGGAAAGATTCTATTTTGATGGCATATTCTTGTGTTTATGATAATATTTTGAATGGAGTTTATGTTTAAATAACCAGCGGCTGCCAGGCAGGATACGCCCACATTTTCGAGAGATGAATAGAGAACAAGCTAAAAAGAAAGTGATTTTTCCTACAATCAAGGACCATAATTCAGGAAATTACAATTCGATATGCGCAAATATCGAAAGGAACCAAAATCTTTGGGTTATAAACTTACATTTCAAGTTTCAACAAAATCGAATAAAAATTGTGACCTCTATAGGGTCCACAACCTTGATATACCATATTTTTATGCTGTTTGAGAACAAGGGGCGGCCATTTTGTCTGTAAGTTTTGGGCCAATTTTCACGAAATACGAACTCAGTCGTCCTTAGGGTGTAATGGTGATATAATAATACGTTTTTTTAAATTGGATAAAAATTATGACCTCTATAGGGTCCACAAGCTAAAAACTTGATTTTTCGTACAATCAGGGGCCATAATTCAGGAAGTAACTGTCCGATATGCACGAATATCGAAAGGAACCGAGATCTTTGGGTTATAAACTTACATTTCAAGTTTCAACAAAATCGGATAAAAATTGTGACCTCTATACTGTCCACAACCGTGATATACCATATTTTTACGCTATTTGAGAACAAACGGCAGCCATTTTGTCTGTCAGTTTTGGGCCGATTTTCAAGAAATACGAACTCAGTCGTCCTTAGGGTGTAATGGTGATATAATAATACGTTTTTTTAAATCGGATAAAAATTATGACCTCTATAGGGTCCACATGCTAAAATCGCGAATTTTCGTACAATCAGGGGCCATAATTCAGGAAGTTATATTCCGATATGCGTGAATATCGAAAGGAACCGAGATCTTTGGGTTATAAGCATACATTTCAAGTTTAAACCAAATCGGATAAAAATAGTGACCTCTACAGTGTTCCCAAGCTAAAAACGTGATTTTTCGTACAATCAGGGGCCATAATCCATGAAGTTACAGCCCGATACATGTCAATATCGAGAGGAACCGAGATCTTAGGGTGATAAACCTATATTTCAAGTTTCATTGAAATCGGATAAAAATTGTGACCTGTAGACTGTTCACAAACAATTGTGGACGACGGACGTCCGGACGGACCGACGACAATATATGTTCCCACGAAAATGTGGGCATATAAAAAGAAATAAACAAGCTGAGAAATGTCAACAATTATTTCGATTGGAATAGTGTACATGTAAGTAGTTAATTGTTTTACACGATAGCGCCTGCTAGTGCTATTATTTAGCAGATGATGTCACTGGCTCGGGAAAAAAAACGGTCGCTGCGAAAAATTTTTCGGGATGTCTTTTATTTTTTACCTCCACCCGTATAGACGTCAAAACGTAGTATAAGACGAATGCCGGACTTCTGCTGAAAAAAGTATCGACTTATACCCTGAAAAATACGGTAATTTTGGAGGTGATTTTGAACAGTAGTCGGTACGCTTTCATTCTATCGTATTACGACAACACATAATCTTTTATTTTTTGCAGGAATATTACTGACATAAATTTGAATACCGTATGAGAATTAATATGAAAAATAACGAGGCACACCTATATTTTTTGTCGACACGTGATTTTTAATTGTCGTCTGAAACCGCCTGCTTAAATAATGATAAGTGATAAGAGTTATGCCCCTTTATTTTCGGTAAAAATGTCTGACAAGAAAAATTTTAAAATCCCATCACTGGTCCACAACCTTGATATACTATATTTTTACACAGTTTGCGTTCGCGGGGCAGCCATTTTGTCCGGCAGTGTTGGTCCAATTTTCACGAAATTCGAACTCAACCATCATAAGGGTGTAACGGTGATATATTCAAACGTTTTTTTTTAAATCGGAATAAAATTATGACCTTCATAGGGTCCACAAGCTAAAAAAATGTGATTTTTCGTACAATCAGGGGCCATAATTCTGGAAGTTACGGTCTGATATGCACGAAAATATCGAAATGGACCAAGATCTTTGGGTTTTAAACTTACATTTCAAATTTCAACAAAATCAGATAAAAATTGTGACCTCTATAGGGTCCACAAGCTAAAAACGTGATTTTTCGAACAATCAGGGGCCATAATCCATGAAGTTACGGTCCGATACATGCCAATATCGAAAGGAACTGAGATCTTAGGGAGATAAACCTATATTTCAAGTTTCGTTGAAATCAGATAAAAATTGTGACCTGTAGAGTGTCCACAAACAATTGTGGACGTCCGGAAGGACAGGGACGACGACAATATATGTCCGCATGAAAATGTGGGCGTATAATAAACAAATCTGAATACTACCCAAACAATATACTGACTACATTTGGCTGAAATCTGTCACATTGTTTAGGTGTATTAGTCCATGCAAATTTGATTTTAGGTGATCTTTTCTATTCACTGATTTTCAATAAAGCTAGGTCAGTTTAAAGCTTAGTAATTTTATAATCAGATCTTCATTTTGTATTGATAGTAGGTATAAATAACACATAAGGTACTACCGGAACAAACTTTTACAGAAACACATAATATTAAAAGAATAGATATAATATTACAGAACGTAAAATGCTGAATTTAAACCTTTTACAAGAACAGATATAATCATACAGAATGTATAAATGCAAGAATTGTACCTTTTCATTTTCAAAATATAGAAGATGAGATTCAGTACCATTTAAAATGAAATACATAGATTTCCATCGTTTTGTTCTTTCACCTGAAAATAATTTCAATACCTATAAAAGCTGCATAATTAAAAATATTAACTTTATTTAAAACAAACTTTCTGTGTTTGATAAAGTGTAAATCTGTGGAGACGCAAGTTATCACAATTCTAAAGTCCTGATTCAGAGAGTGTGCTCACTTTTATTTGAGATGTAGCCTTGAATTATATATGGTGTCAATCAGAAAAAGATGCTTAGATTTTAGATGATTGTGACAAAGTAATCGACAGGTCACATGTTCAGGATAATTAAAATCAATGATTTCTGATCACAGTAATATCATTCTTGAAAGTTTTTCTAAAGATATTCCTTGGGAGTTTTCTGTTTTTCTGAGCAAATAATGAAGTCAGTTAACACCCATGCTTCTTTCTGTTAGATTATCTTGTTCATTTACAAATTACTCCTTACCAAAAAATAAACCTGACAACTATTCAGTATGGCAAGGCAAATTTGCCAATTGCCAGGGGCAAGAGAATGAGAGCAAGTTATATTTGGTTGAATAGTTTGAAGAGTATGTGCATGTAATGGGGTGTAACGCCCAATTTACACAAACTGGGTCATTTCAGGACTAACATATGGTTCAATTTTATTTCAATAGTTCGCTAGCGTGTAGGGGGTAATTGGCAGTGGGGGAGAACCAGAGGGCCCTGAGAAAACCCACAAGTTTGGACAGACAACCCTAATACAGTAACATGATATATAGTACTAGTAGTTAAATTATGTTTCGGTTACTTACTGCGTTTTGATAAATAACCTTTTAATGATTGACTTTCATCTAAACTAGAAAGTAAATTGGGTCCTGAGCTTTGTGGAATTGATGCATATATATCATTTGTTTGTTGTGATGACAATGTATTCTGAAATCAGAAAGATAAAATTAACCTTCCAAACCCCTTTTGAAAGAGTAAGAAAGCATTGCACCATCAAAGTTTCATTTATTCAATTTTGAATGCAAGTACAGTATTCAAGTTACTAGTTTGTAAATATTGTAAAGTGTACAGACCAGGGATCTTAATTGGCTGTTTTTTGTTGGCTTTAGCCGCTTGAAATTCAGTCAAACCGATTGGTAAAACAATGAACCGGCCACTATGGTATCATAAATCAATCTACTTTCGGCTAAATTACAACGGGTTAATTATTACTTGTTAATTAAGTAGTCAATCAACTTGCTTGTCGGCTACAAAAAGTCATACCTTAGTGAGAATTGGCCATGTGGTTCATAATCCGAGTAATTAGCACAAGTAACGGTAATTTTGATATTCTGGTAAAAAACCAAAACAAGCTTGCTGATTATTCATAACAGATCCCGTAAGTTGCCTTTGAGGAAATAAGCCACGTGACAATCGAAGGAAGACAATCTCTGCATGGATTGTGCACTTATCACGCGCCTTCAACACTCCATATGAATTCCAGGTGTACCGGTCATAATTTACAGGTTTCACTGACCTGTTGAATATAATCCTTGGATAGAACACCGAATACACTGAGAAACCGTCATTAATAATATATTATGATTTTCCAATGCCGATGACATGTGACATCATTTGTAATTAGGTCAATAAACCAGCGATACTAGTTTTAGTTTTAAATAGAGTTTACCATTATGATTTTTTATTTAATACACATGCTGACAGAGGCTTAATTCTTAAAATGTTGTCATTATTATTGAAAGCTATATGGCATAGTCGTATGGAATTTAATTTTAACCGCCATTTTAATTTAATCGTGATCACTGTTGTGTGTGTCTATCATGGACGAATAAATAAAAAAAGTCATTTGCAAGTTACTGATAGAAAAAACCCTACAAATTGTGTTATGAAGAAATGCCATGGTGCCGTATTAGCTTATATCCATCGAAAAAAAAACGAATACAGTAATTTATTCAGGAATATATTACTCACATGAATTTCAAGTCGATACGTGAATTAAATATGAAAAATATTCCGAAAAAGTCTGGTTATAATAAAGTGAATGGAAGCTTAAAATTTTAAAACCCAGTTCCTATCGGAACCTCATTTGACCTAATTCTGGCAGGTTCGTTTCAAAATGGATTAAGAACCCTGGTACAGACTATACACATTGAGTAGTATTTGTGTAAGGAACTGGAGTGATATAATATACAATATTATTATTATTAAAAGATAGGTTGCCAGACAATGAAACATACATCAAAGCAGTCAACAAGAGTTGTCGCATATTTTTTCTATTGTCGGTAATGAAACATTTATAATACGCTAACATCTGATTAAGAGTAACAACTCATTAAGTAATTATCAGAAAATCATTATAATTTGTTTGGCTTTTAGTTCTGCCCCATGCTAACATTTTGTATACGAAACATCTAATATCATGAATTTAGCTGTTCAAGTTATCAAAATTCATTGAAAATTAATATACATGTTCGTCTCAAGACCTTAAACTCTGTTTATCAATCTAAAGTCAATCGGATATTATCTTTAGCCTCTAGAGCATACACAAGATATTTTGAAGTGATCAAGGGCCATAACTCTGGCAGTAGTTATCGGATATCATGGAAAATCAATAGGCTTCTTCGTCTCATGACCTTAAACACTGTGTATAAATCTAAAGTCAATCGGATATTAACTTTAGCCTCTAGAGCGTCCACAAAGATTTTTCAAAGGGGTCAAGGGCCATAACGCTGGCAGTAATTATCGGAAACTGTTAAAAATCGATAGGCTTCTTCGTCTCATGACCTTAAACACTGTTTATAAATCTAAATTCAATCGGATGTTAACTTTAGCGTCCACAAGATATTTCAAGTGATCAAGGGCCATAACTCTGGCAATAATTATCAAATATCATTGAAAATCAATTACATAAAATCTATTACATAATGAGACAATAAAAAAAGGTATATCTTACTCTGTGTACTGGTGTGATTAGTTTATAACCATCTACTATTTCTTCCTTTGTATATCTTTCAACAATAGCCTGTAAACTATTCAAATTTAAAATAAGTTATTAACCACTGAAAAACAATAGATCTATTTCAGCAGCCAAAGCTCAAAAAAAATTTTCTCTTGCAACGCAACCCACTGATAAGAGTTAGTTATTAAACAGGATTATTCTTCAACATTCAGACAATACATGTATATGTTTTGGAGTTGGTTTTAGGGCTCAACAGGGGCCTTTTAATAAGCATACAGTAAAATTATGGAAGCTATTTTTTCTAAATGCAGCAGCAGAACTGATGTAAATGAAAGGGGAATCTGTGTCATTCTTAGGTAATTAAGGAACAGCAGCAATTCCTTGATCCTGATCCTGGGAGCAGCGATGGCTCAGTGAGTAAGATGCTGGTTCGGTAACCAAGAGGTCTCAGGTGTGCTCCAGGTGTTGGCCCAGTAAGTTCTTCTGGATTAAAGAACAGCAGCAATTCCTTGATCCTGGTCCTGGGAGCAGCGGTGGCTCAGTGAGTAAGATGCTGGTTCGGTAACCAAGAGGTCTCAGGTGTGCTCCAGGTGTTGGCCCAGTAAGTTCTTCTGGATTTTTGTCCCCCGCCTTTCGAAGCAGAGATAAGCAATTTGATTGGTTGATGCTTTGGGACACAATAACTTTAGTTCTAATTAAGTGAGAGTGATGAAACTTGGTATATAGTTTCATTACATCAATACCTTGACTAAGTGCAATAATGAACATTTTCTGCTCAGGTTAAGCAGAGCCATAAGCAATTTGATTGGCCGAGACTTTGGAACACAATAACTCTCCTTCTAATTGAGCTAGAATGTTCAAACTTGGTGTATGTGTTTATTACTATATTAGGTCAATGCCTTGATGGAGTTCGAAGATGAGCATTTTTTGCTTAGGGTAAGCAGAGATAAGCAATTTGATTGGTTGATGCTTTGGGACATGATAACTTTAGTTCTAATTAAGTGAGAGTGATGAAACTTTGTGTCTAGTTTCATCACTCTCACTAAATTAGAACCACAGACCGTCTAGACCTTGATACAGGCTCCTCCACCTCAATTATGTTACAACATTGTGCAATAGTGAAAGTTGCGACATTCCACATCTTATTTTTCACTGAGCTTAAAATCACGACCATAATTTCCCAGCTTAGCCGCCTGATTAAGGCCTCCAATAACCGTTATTTTCGGAATAACAATGGGCTGTTCATTATCAAATGGTTCAATGCATATCTGACAAACAGGCGATACTGTATCCATTTGTGTCTCAACATTTGAACCATTTTGTGAATTATATTACCACCTACTTCAATAGGCATGGTCAGCTTCTGCAGTCGACATAACCCTACGCCGCTACCGCAGTGAGACATTCCAAATGAAATTTACTTGATACTGGATGAATGTCATTGTATTAGGTCTAAGGTAGGAGTATCATTAATCTCCAATCCCTAATCGGAAATCTAAATCTAATTTGAATTTCTCCTATACTGACACAGAGAAATCACTTAATCACTAAAATGAGTACAAAAATGGATACATACAGCTACCTCGAAAACATATATTTTGACACCAAATTTGATCCTTATGTAAAGTTCGAATTGTCCCGCCACAACTGACCGCCATATTGAATAACTCCCAATATTGACTCAGCGGTAACACCTATCACAAAAGTATGTATTGAAATGGATTCAGTTACCTCGAAAATGTATATTTTGATACCAAACTCGATCATATTATGATAATTGGGTGGAAATTGGAATTTACAAGCCAAAACAAGCGGCCATTTTGGATTTTGGCCTCTCAAAATTTTTCCCTTTGGCCAATTGATGGGGCTTTTTTTCTGTAACACTACTGGGTGAAATCTATCATTTAAAACCAAGAAAGCTTAGTTTGCACATTTCTGCCACAAAAAAAAACCCCAATTCCGGCAGCCTACATCAATACCTTGACTTAGTTCCATAATAAGCATTTTCTGCTTAGAGTAAGCAGAGTAATAGGCAATTTGATTGGTCGAGATTTTGAAACATGATAACTCTCTTTCTAATTGAGGTAGAATGTTCAAACTTGGTGTAGGCGTTCATTAGGTGAATGCCTTGGATGTAGTTCGATGATAAACATTGTCTGCTTACTGTAAGCAGAGATAAGCAATCTGATTGGTTGATGCTTTGGGGCACGATAACTTTGGTTTTAATTAAGTGAGAGTGATGAAACTCTAAGTATAGATTATTATATCATTACCTTGACTAAGTCTGATGATGAGAAATTTCTGTTTAGGCTAAGGATCGATAAGCAATTTGATTGGTCAAGACTTTGGAACATAACAACTCTGCTTTTAATTGAGGTAGGATGTTCATTAGGTGAATGTCTTGACTGACTTCAATGATTAACATTTCGAGCTAAAGCTAAGCAGAGCTAAGCAATTTCATTGGTCAATGCTTTGGGACAAGATAACTTTGATTCTATCTGATAGAGAGTGATGAAACTTAGTGTAAAGGTGATAATCTGTTTGATTGCTTGATACTTTTGAAAAAAATAAATGTGCCATTAATGAATATGTGTCATCTATTTATTTTGGCTTTTCAGCGGGGGACATCAGCCTTACTTTTGGCTTGTTCGGCATGGTTTCACTTTATCAGCATTACTGGATGGAGGGACTTGCAAGGACAGTGTCTAGTTGATTGAACTGGATGGGAAAAAAGAGGACCTGTGGATCTGACAAGGACAGCGTCTAGCCGCACGGATGGCACGAAAAAAGAGAGCTCCTGTGTATACATCGACGGGCACATAATAGAACCCTTGACAGTTGGAATTCTAAATAACAGTAGGCCATAATGTTGCTGTCCGGGAAAAATTTCCCTCATACATGTAGCACACTGTATTGTGATTGCCTGTGTTCATTAGTCCAGTTGATTCGGAAAAGTAGGATCATTACATCATCTATCGATTACTTGAAATATTGACAGATAATTACACAAATTATCTAGAATACAAAAGTATTTGTTTGCAGATGATAGAAGCACCAAAAAATAATGATACTTGATGTGATTTAGGATACATACCTTTGAAAACATCTTCCACCTAACCATAAGAAGCTGGTTTTGTTCTGTATTCGATATCTCAATACCTCTTTATCACAGAGAAAAAATAGAACATAATCGCCTGGTGAATTATCACTTGGTCGTACTAAAAAACTACCTTCACCTGCTGTTGAGAAATAATTCAACATCATTATAATTACATATAAAATGTGAAAACTCGAATCGTAGTTATTAAAAAAGCAGTTCTCGATTAAGTTTTCAAACCACTTTGAAAAGATAATTAAAATACGCTTAAAGTTATGATGACTTGAAGATTTCATACGTACCACGCTGTAGTCTTTGAACAGCAATTTCTTTGGTTATGTTACCATGGAAATATGGCAGAGCTTCTACAGGATCTATACTACTATCCTTTAATAAAACAATTTTAAGTTTGTAATTAAGTAAATCATAATTAGAGTACTGTATATTTCATGATCTTTCTCTATAACCTGTAGGACTTTTAAAAGAAAATCTAATATACAAATATCCAAAGTCTGTTTATGTTGTTTAACAGTCAAATCGAAAACTAATAAGATAATGAAAATCAATTGTTTGTGTCTGTGATAATTATTAAGGATATGCAGTTTTTTATCCAGATATACAGAATTTCCACTAAGGACTAAGACGAGAGCATCGCTAACGCTGCAATATATGTCCACATACCTGCTTTGATTGATATGGTACTTTTTAAAATGAAGAGAATGAAATATGAAATGGCTGCAATGACTGTAGTATGACAAAAGGCAAAGAAGGCTAGGCGTTCGGTTTGTTTTGCCAAATTTAGACTAAATACTAAATATTAACAAAAATGTGGGTGTGACACCACTCCAGAGGGTCAGGGCATGCACCAAAATAAATAGTTGCTGTCATACGGTATAAGGAATTCCAGAATTGCAGTCTGTAGACGTATTTACAGTACAGATAAAATTACCCAAAAAGTTGGTGTGGTATAAAGAATAAATATACCAAGTTCCAAGATGATCTATTTAGAATTCCAGCCTGTAGACAAAAACCACAAAATTGGGCATGGCTCTGCCACTTGGGGTTTGACATGGATCAAAATAAATAGATACAACCCTATGCTGGATCATTCTGATTTGAATCTAAATCTGTTATTGCAACCTGTATCATTTACAGACAAATTATCAACAAAACCGTTGCCATCCTTAGGGTATGAGTATACCAAGTTCCAAGATAATCCATTCAGAATTGTGGCCTTCCGGTGCTAAAGGCAAAAATTAGGCGTGCCCCTGCCACTGCTGGTCGGGGCATGCACCCAAATCAATGGTTGCCGCCCTTAGGCTATGAGGAATACATATGCCAAGTTCCAAGCTGATTCATTAAGAATTACGGCCTGTATACGATAAACACAAAATTTGGGAGAGGCTCTGCCCCTTGGGGTCGGGACATCGTGGTTGATTTATTTCGTCTAATTAGCAAAATAATATGTACCTGATCAGACATAATAATTGTGTAGCAATAATATTTTCAGTTAACTGATAATAGTGATAGTGAAAGAACTTTGATCAGTCGGCGTAATTGGTATGTGATCAGATGTACCTGATTAGACATAATAATTGTGTAGCAATAATATTTTCAGTTAGTTGATAGTAGTGATAGTGAAAGAAATTCGATCAGTCAGGGGGTAATTGGTAGTCGATTAGCTAACTGGATGTGGACAGTTTGCTTGACATGGCAACCTATATTGGAGATCAACCTATATTTCAAGTTTCGTCAAAATCGGATAAGAATTGTGACCTGTGTCCACAAACAATTGTGGACGGACGGACAGGGGCGATGGCAATATACGTCCACATGAAAATGTGGGCGTATAAAACTTTGACAGAAAGTAATGAACCGTATCTTGTATTTTTAAATTCATATCTCAATCTTACCAAATTTTCCATTAAAGCTGCTGGAACTAAACCACTTTGACCCGTTATTGAGGTCACCCATAACCATCCATCTTTAAGCTCATTGCACACCACAAATAGATCACCCTTTTCAAAACTGTCAATATATGGAAAATTGTTTTGTATAATGTAGATGAATACAAATTGTTCAGCATAATGTAGGTAAATACAAATTGTTCAGCATAATATAGATATATACAAATTTGCCAAAGTTACATTTTATAATAAAATGAGGCTAAATGTATGGTTTAGTACGTATTTACTAGGCACAATATAATATAGAAAAAAACAATTCCTGAGTTTGCCTGTAGATGAAACATAGTATAACTATTATGATCCAACTAAAAACTTATTGAATCTTACAAAGCTCCACTTTTCCATAAAACATTTGATAACTTTAATTCTTGGTTGACAAATAAAAAAAGAAAGATTCTTTAAAGCAACTAGGGCAGGGAAAGAATTTCATTTTAAAAAAATAGATTGCCGGACAATGAAACATACCACACAGCAACTAAATCGTCCGGGCACTCAACAAGAGTTGTCGCATATTTTTACTTTTTTCGGTAATGAAACATTTATAATACACTAAAAACTCATTACGTAATTATCAGAAAATCATTAGAATTTGTTTGGCTTTTATAAAGTTCTGCACCATGCTAATGTTTAGTATATGAAACAATCATGGATTTAACTGTTAAAGTTATCAAAATTCATTGAAAATCAATATACTTGTTTGTTTCAAGACCTTAAACTCAATCTAAAGTCAATTGGATGATAACTTTAGCCTCTAGAGCGTTACTCTGGCAGTAATTATCTGAAATCGCTGAAAATCAATAGGCTTCGTCTCATGACCTTAAACACTGTGTATAAATTTAAAGACAATCAAATATTATCTTTAGCCTCTAGAGCATCCACAAGATATTTTGAAGTGATCAAGGGCCATAACTCTGGCAGTAATTATCGGAAATCGATGAAAATCAATAGGCTTCTTCGTCTCATGACCTTAAACAATGTGTATAATTTTAAGTCAATCGGATATTAACTTAGCTTGTGGACGGACGGACAGGGGCGACCACAATATACAATCACATTTCAATGTGCGCATATAACAAATAAGATATCTTTTAACACGCAGTACCAGTCTACAAAATCAACACACAAATTGCATGGTTGCGTCTGTCATATTTGATTCCTGGTAATATACAGAGATAAACAATGGGCATTATTTGAGAATACTGTAACTGAGCATTGATGTTAGAATTTCTAATTTAATATGCATGTCCAACAATCAGTAAAATAGATGAAGGACAACATGACTTGAATAGACTCTAAAGGGCGTTAGTTGAGTAGTCTAAGATACGCACTAACTTTTCAACACCAATCTTATTAAGACTTTGCACACTTGTTCCATGTGTACAATAACCCAGAGGACACATAACAGTCCGACCGTTTGTTGTGTAATAATGGAGTTACAAGCGGAAAGAAAAAAAACCTATTTAAAGCAAACGAGAAGGTTTCCCGACCTAGTTTAGTTCTTGAATAAATTATGATGTCATATACACAGTTCACATCATCCGCTATAAACAATCATGGCCGTGTCCAGCAGTAGTTTCACACTGGATCATTCACATCTATCTAGATATGACGTCAGAAAGAATTCCTTCTAAGACGTGATTATCCAGGTCTACCATCTATCGCGACTGGAACGTGGCTGAATTTCATTTTTTGATGGTCGAAGACTGCTATTTTTGAATGTATACCAGTGGCTGCCAGGCAGGATACGCCCACATTTTGCAAGAGATGGATAGAGAACAAGCTAAAAACAAACAGGATTTTTTGTAAAATCAAGGGCCATAATTCAGAAAGTTATGGTCTGAAATGCGCCATAATTCAGTAAGTTACTATCCGATATGCATGAATATCGAACGGAACCAGGATCTTTGGGTTATAAAATTACATTTCAAGTTTCATCAAAATCAAAAGAAAATTGTGACCTCTAGAGGGTCCACAACATTGATATGCCATATTTTTACGCTATTTGAGTACAAGGGGCGGCCATTTTGTCTGTCAGTTTTGGGTCAAACTTTACGAAATTCGAACCCAACCATCCTTAGGTTGTAACGGTGATATATTCAAACGTTTTTTTTAAATCAGATTAAAATTATGACTGCTATAGGGTCCACAAGCTAAAAGCGTGATTTTTCATACAATCAGGGGCCATAATTCAGGAAGTTACGGTCCGATATGCCTGAATATCCAAAGGAACCGAGATCTTTGGGTTATAAACATGGTAACATGCATAGTGTGTAGAACCTATCTCTAAGTATTGACTAACTGGCCTATGTGTTAGAATATCTATATATGCAGTAGAAAAGGTTCGTTGTGGTAACTATTCATGGAACTTTGTGAGAAATATACATGTTGCCAGTAGTCGCTTAAACCTGTCAGTACTTGTACCGTACGTCAGTATTCCTATAAATGGTCAGTAATAATCATAAGGTGAGTATTTAAATTAATTGGTTAGTATTCCTTACTTGTGTCAGTATGTAAACAAACATGAGTTAAGCCGAACATATCACTAATCAGTCGCGTGCGAGAGAAATTGAAAAAAGCTTGACTAATTGAGGAACCGTCACTATTGGAGCTCCGGGTCACTATCAGAGTGAAACCGCCAGATATCTTTGATGTTCGTCAGTAATTTGACCCGACGCCAGTAGAGCCTGAAATCGTTAACTATATAAATTTCTGGTGAGTATTGTTAGTGAGTATCGTCGCTACATGTGCGTCAGTAACTGGACCCGACGCCAGTAGAGTGTGAAATCGTTAAATCGTCGCTACATTCTGAATAAATTATTAATTATTTACTAATATTCTCGAATCGGGAAATGTTTTTAAACAATAATAGATGGCAGTCAACAATAGGAGTATTTGTCGGCAATTTCGATTACCGCCGTAGTTTGCAGAATACAGCGCAATGTGTAGTGTTATTTAATTTACAATTTATATTTATTCTGGTTACATGCGGATTGGCACATGTTTTGGGACGTGCGGTACTTTGATAACTGTATAGATTAAATTTGGAATCACAACTAATGGTTAAAAAAAAGATCAACACAAATCTGTTTTCACTAATTTTATGATTATATTCATGTGCAGATGACATATACTGTCCGTTTCCACCCGGGTAAACGGGATTGTCATTCCAGTTGAAGCTTCTTGTGTTATCGGAACGGCCTTGATAATATTCGTTCAGAAAAGGGGGTTGGTAGGCAGGATTCGGTTCTCCTCTGTAGCTGTAGTCTTGTTGGGCTCTATAATTATCTCGGAAGGACATCTTTGTGGCGAGATTTACATCTGTCCGAATGTTATGATTTTTAAAATTTATATAACTAGAGTACTCAATCAAGGTATCCAAAATGTCTGGCAAATGTAGTCACCCATAATTTGAAAATAAACACATACATGGCATTCTTTTGTAGGGACTAATTATGTTGTATAGTAAATTGACATAAACACCTAGGGATTAGTCTCAATTGATCAGGATAATGTGCATACAAGAGACTGGATGTATATTCAATCACCTAGCTTGGTGAAAGTTCTTTATTATGAAAGGTAAATTGTGTATTTTGTTGGTATAGTTTACATGTGTCTTGATTCCCACTATTGCGGTTTCATTGCTGAAGAGGCTGTCAAATAAACACATGTACATAATACATACTTACTTCAAGGCATTTATATTTGAATTAAACCCTGCTATTCACAAGACCGTTATTTTAATGTTATAAAAATAGGTTGACCCTTATTGCGATATCACCTCGGTGGAAGCGGACATTAAATAAAGCTATTTCACACACACTTTTGCTTGCCTGCGAAATCACTAATGTCGAAGCAACCGTTTACCTATCGAGTTCCACTACGATAATTTGCATTGTGTTTTGTTTAAAAGGATTGCTATAACTTATACGGATATCTTATCAACGAATAACCCGTTATTCCCTGCATTGGTGTAAATACGATGTCAGATACAGTTCAGTGTTGGTGTATGAGTTGCAATGGATACAGATCATTGTCCATGAAAAAATATTGAAACAAATTCAGCGTGATAGATGTAATGGTTTTGACAGTGACTGGCACGACAGATACAACAAAAAGCCTGATTACACAATTTCTGGCACGGCATTTACAAAGGTAAGATTTTGTCCACGTGAAAAATTGTTTTTATGGTTGTATTGAGCGAATTTTGGCCGTTATGACCACGTCCTATATTCCGTTGCAATGTAATTCGGGAATATTTATTTCTTTATTTAGATTTTCAAAAAAAAAATTAAAATATTAAAAGAAATGTCCATACAACTTTTGTATCCGAGTGAGCTTACATATCACTTTGGGAAATATACTATATAATTAATATATACATGTACAAGTAGATTGTTTCGTCGTATACATGACATTTTTTCTTGATTGAATATGAATAACAAAACCCCCAAAAAACCCTGATGATTATGTCCAATCAGATAATAATTACTGAACTAAAAATATAAAAAAATGCAAAAAAGAAAGAAATTATGCGACCTCCAGGCTATTGAGTCAGTGTCTTAACCACTCTGCCACCGTGGCTCCCAGACCTACAGGGACGGCAATAGTTTCAATGTATTTATCCAATGCAATGTCGATTGTTTATTGTTAGATATTTTTATATTTGTATCTGTAATAATTTTGTATATTTGGTACATCAAAAATACAGTCGATGAGTTTATTTATAATAGGAATCGTCAATACACGAAAGAAAATATGAACATGAAACACGTTATTATATAATTATGATTATAAACAATGTACTTATAATTTCGCGGCTTGTTTTCTACATTTAATATTATACCATCGTCATCGACTGTTTATTTAAATCCCATTGCAATTATTCAATCAACACCAATATCTAGCATATTCTGTAACACCGCAGATCACTTTAAAACATGTAAATTCAAAGTAATATAGACTGAATCAAATATTGCATGGGATTTCAACTCACTAAGTCCGTTTTCTAAAACATATTTCAATTCAGTCGTGTGACAAATACACACTACAGCTGTGGCGGCTTCTTAGAAGAGCTGCAAACTGAAATACCCAATCGACTGAGGTGCTAATTAATTTATAACTAATTGGTGAGATTAAGAGAACATAAAAGTTATAATAAACAAGACATAGGTAACCATGTAAGAAAGTTAAAGGACTGTTCTCGTTTTTATTTGTTCTAACTTATAAGTCTGTGATCGGAAATTATATGCTAATGGAAATGTGAATATGCCACAAATAATAGAGCGTTGTATATATATGTATTTCTATCAATATCTGCATGAATGTATTAGCTTTAGTTTCAATAAAAAAAAATTAATCGTACGCGATATCTACATGACTTTCGAATTTCGCACATGAGAGATATCCCAAGATCGAACTTGTGCATGGTTTTACTATTTCACCGTTGAGAGCAGTGTGTCAGTGTACTAAATAAAAAAAAATCTAAAATATTAATAGACTTTTCCATGCTTATAATTTCGGTTTACTTGTATGTATGAAATTCATTTTTTTTTTGTACGGTCATATTGTATTTAACCATTTTATATCGTACCTTATAATACATTATTACTATTTTCATCGTTTTATATATTTTGTTAAATAGTTTTTATTCCTCAAATGTAAATATATATTCAGACGATTCGTCAGTGCTCAGAATTTCAGCTTGTATGTAGGTATATGAAATTCATTATTTCTGTTGTCTGCTATCGTGTTATCTGTTTCAATAAAATTAGTGAACCATTAGTTGTGATTCCAAATTTAATTCATACAGTTATCAAAGTGCCGCACGTCCCAAAACATGTGCCAGTCCGCATGTAACGGAAATAAATATAAATTGTAAATTAAATAACACTACACATTGCGCCGTATTCTGCAAACTACGGCGGTAATCGAAATTGTCGACAAATACTTCTATTGTTAACTGCCATCCATTATTGTTTAAAAACATTTCCCGATTCGAGAATATTAGTAAATAATTAATTAATAATTTATTCAGAATAGAGCGACGATTTAACGATTTCACACTCTACTGGCGTCGGGTCCAGTTACTGACGCACATCGAAGATAACTGGCGGTTTCACTCTGATAGTGACCCGGAGCTCCAATAGTGACGGTTTCTTAATTAGTCACGCTTTTTTCAATTTCTCCCGCACACGCCTGACTAGTGATATGTTTGGCTTAACTCCCGTTTGTTTAATTACTCACGTTATTTTTACATACTGACACAAGTAAGCAGGCATCGATATTTCCGCGCAGGCACAATTGCTTTAAAAAAAAAATTTGCAGGCACATTTTTAAAGATGTAGCCACCCCGGCGGCGCCTGTGCCCGGCACTATTTTTTGCCGCCCAGCACAAAAAAAAATCGAAGAAAGCCGCCCAGTCGTATTTAAACCCCTTCGTCCTTCTCTGTACACAAACTCGGCGCTCAAAATTTACCACGGCAATTTTTGTGTGCCGTAGTAGACCCTATCATGCCAAATTAGTTTAAAGAAAGATGTATTGGTATTTTGTGTATTTATACTTAGAAGATGTGTAGGCCTAGGTATACTCATTTTACAATTATTCTACGGTCTTTATATTTGTTTATTTGCCGTAAATAGGTCACCCAGACCAATTTACGGCACTCCAATGTAACAGGTTTGAATGTCGTAATTGTCCAACACGTGCCTGCAAATTTTCATGATGTTTCTTATTTTATTTCTTACCTGTGTTGACCGTGGATTTGCTACGGCACGAGAGTAGGACTAGGAGGACGATGAGACACGTACAACAACTTTACAAACAAGTCAAATAATACAACGTGTTTTAATTATCAATATCTACCTGTTGTCATAATTCGTTACAGTACTCAAATAAAACACAAACACCGTTTTAAGAATCGTTTTAATTTTTAATCTCAAGGTAATAAAGTAATATTTGAAAAAAAAAATCCAACAAAACAACAAATACCGAAAGGTTCTCAACTATCCAGAGAAACAGAGTGGGGTGGGACAATTTTATGCTTGGTCGGGTGGTGTCAAAAAGTTTTTAGATCCCTGTATCATTGATGAAAATTAAGTGAATTTGGTAAAATTTGAATATATAAATGGAAATTTGATTTGCACTGAACCAAATACAAAAGGCAGCAGATGCTCTGAAAATACACCAAGAAGGGTTTAATTTTCATAAAAGACCACGCCCCCCTCCCAAAAAATTTTTGCACTCGCTCCGCTCGCCAGATATATTTATACACCACTCACCAAATCATGGCTACATCCCTGTGTTTCAGTATGACCCTGCAGCCACATTTTTAAGTGTGTGTGCAGGCACACTCAACTTTTATAGAGCCCTGCAAGTAAGGAATACTAACCAATTAGCTTAAATACTCACCTTATGATTATTACTGACCATTTATAGGAATACTGACGTACGTACGGTACAAGTACTGACAGGTTTAAGCGACTACTGACAACACATATATTTCTCACGAATTTCCATGAAGAGTAACCACAATGAACCTTTTCTACTTCATATATAGATATTCTAACAACACATAGGCCAGTTAGTCAATACTTAGAAATAGGTTCTACTCACTATGCATCCAGCAGTGAAACTTACATTTCAAGTTTCATCAAAATCAGAAGAAAATTGTGATATACCATACTTTTATGCTATTTGAGAACGAGAGGCGGCCAGTTTGTCTGTCAGTTTTGGGCTGATTTTCACGAAATTCGATCTAACCCCTCCTTACAGTGTAACGGTGATATAATCAAACGTTTTTTTTAATCGGATAATAATTGTGACCTCCAGAGGGACCACAATCTAAAAAAGGCGATTTTTTGGACAATCAGGGGCCATAATTCAGCAAATTACGTTCCGATAGGCGCAAATCTCGAAAGGAACCAAGATATTTGGGTTATAAACATGCATGTCAAGTTTCATCAAAATCGGTTCGAAATTGTGACCTCTATAGGGTCCACAAGCTAAAAATGTAATTTTTCGTACAATCAGGGGCCAGGTGCTTAATTCTTGCATTTAGAAACATATAATTAAATGTATGTAATCAATTTACTGAACATCAAGAAAATTTAGGTCACCTGTCGCAAACAACACATAGTTTTACTTGCTACCTGTCAGACGAAAAAATCGCCTGTCGCCAGACGACAAGTAAACAGGCGAACATTTCGAGCCATGTATAATGCATAGAAAGATTGATAGTTTCTGATTCTTTCAAGCAATGGGATAAAAGCAACCATTTTGGTTGGCTATTTCTCATTAACACATGTCAATTGTTGGTGTATTTTTAATGTACAATTTAAATGTCAAAATATTCATACACTTTTGTTGAATCATTTATGTTAAATCTACAAAAAAGCTGATATCATATGTCATTTTCTTTTTAGCAATAAAATATTCCTCAACTGGCAAGCAAAAAAAGTAAATATAGTTACATGTACTTCCCTTGTGTCCCTATCTGATAATTGGAAAATGATTCATTAACGATAAATATCACATTGAAAAGAATTAATTACCGACATGAATAATTACCAACCTTATCTCATCTGTATCTGGTAGTTGCCTATAGGATAGTAAAGCAACAACTTTTCTTCTGTCATCTACAGGCTACATAATAGAATAATATACATCAATGAAATGTTATCCACTTAATATCATGCATCATTTGAAACATGTATTTTAAGTGGTAGACTTCAATTCAGGGGAAGATTCTGAAGGATCAATCTGCTTGCAAATAATATTTTTGCGGGGTAAGGTTAATGACATGCTGCCTAATTCATAGCATCCTTTTAAAACACAGAAGATGGCAAAGACAACTACGATAGCAATACCCCTATCATATGGACTACCGATAAGATAGTTTACCACTTGCCATACATCAGGTGTCAGGCCTCGAAATGTTTAAAAAAAGCTCAGGTAGCTTTTCTTCATACTTGTCGCTTCAGCAAATAACCTGTCACTCTCAATTATCAAAGACCAATCACATGACACATATCCTTACATGTAGGTACACACACACACTCTTAAATTGTTTAGGTCTTGACGTACATTGCTCCATATAAATATCGGAATACGAAACCTTTTTATTTCTTCAACATCGGAATGCCTAAAAGTTCTTGAAAGTCGGCAAATCTGCTTTGGCCTTGGCTCCAGTGGCGGCGCCAGCCGTCGGTGATTGGAGGGGCAAAGCTGGGCCAAGTCCAACGAATTCCCCTTGTGAGCGCCAAAGTAGCGAGTCCATTGGGGACCTCGCCAAGAAAATTTTGAAAAATAGACTGTCGGAAATGCTCTACAACATGCAAGTTTATGACTGAGTGGGGATGTGGGATTTATTCACCGTAGAAGGTATTCATTACCGAAACGAATCACAAATACTTTTTTTTATTTTCTAAAATTATTTGGGGGGCAAACAGAGGGCAGACCAGTTTGGCTCAGCGACTCGAAGATTCGTACAATTCTATCATCCGTATCCACGCGAATTCCGCCAAGTATCATGGTACCAAACTTGCGTACTAAATCGAATACTTCGTTGTTGAGGTGTATAATTCAGATTTTAAAATATCCGTAATACATTGATTATCAAAACATGAATCACACCTATGCATGGTACCATATTTACATGTACCGCGTGCGGAGGACAAGTAACGCCCCCTGGAAATCCTTTCTCACATATCCTGTCTATATTTACGCTACAAATTATATTTATATATGAAATATTTTTCCGATCTAATTATTTGATTTTGTAAATTTTCTTATAAATTATTCATAGCCTTTATTTATGGAAATTGTTTTAAACTTTTTAAATACACGTCACCAGGCAACGAGCCGTGTGCAGTTCCATTCCAGCTACCACTATATTTACTGTGGTGTCGTTACGATAGAACTATATATATAACCTGGGGGTGTGTTTTAATTTATTTAGATATAATACTTCATAATGCTATAAACTAGTGTCAAGCAGATGAAAACAAGCGTAAATGGTGTGAAATTCATTGTTATAAAATTGTCTACTTTCAAACTGTGTGAGAGTAACTGTTGCCTATGACAGAGCGAAATGTAAACAGTGCAAATGGCAACTTTTCACAGTATTCCCGTGCTTAATTCTTGCATTTAGAAACAAATAATTAAATGTACATGACGTGAGTATTGTGGTCTTAAAGTAGCTAAGTCTCTAACTCAATATCATCCAAAATCTTCAACATTGAAAACACGATTTATTTGTCAAATTAAATTAACATTCATGTTGTGATCTTACCGGAAAAAGATGGGCTTTTGATATCCAATATTTAAGACAAAATAAACATTTTACCATTGGTACACGAATCATGTACCATAATGCGCTTCAGCCCCAGTTGTATCAGTGACTCGAGGGACGAGGCTAGACACATTGCACCAAATCAAACGGCGTATGTAGACTGGAATAACCAGACGCTAGAAATTTGCACTCGCTTGAGACTGCTGGCTTATTTGGCCGAACATAACTGATTTGAAATTGGAGTAAATACGGAAACCACTGAATGTAAATCAGTTCATATACATTCATACTACAGTATTATATGTGTTGCGACCTACTTTTGTCAATTTCTAGGTCCCAAATGTTAGCGATTTAGCTCCTTTAAGTCAATTTACTGAACATCAAGTAAAATTTACTTGCTACCTGTCAGACGAAAAAATCGCCTGTCGGTGACAAGTAGACAGGCGAACATTTCGAGCCATGGGGTGTCCTCAGCAGCAATACGTCGGAGCAGTTTCATTCTGATTATTTGTAGACAGGCTTGTTTGCTCACTAATGTCATCACCTCCAGAAATAATTATAAAAAATCAATGAAAATCAATAGGATTGAATAATGCACTGAATGCAAAAGGACTGTACCATAGGGTATTTACTTGTGACAGCAATATACAACCATATTACACTATGGACGTATATAAATATATGATCAAATAAAAGAAACCAAAGAGACAACATGTGAAAGGGTAATGGAAATACAGGACTTGGAACTGTTTTTTAAAGATAAATTATGGGGATTAGATAAAAAAAAAAGCTGGCAGTTCTCACTACAATAGTTACAAATTGATCCACTCTTGAACTGAGATTTTTGCGATTGAATTTTCGGTCTAGCCTCGGTACGATGAAAAACATAGTCTCGATTATCCATTTCATGATAAAATCAAGAACGGAAGTCAAACAGCAAATCGGAACCTAATCCAATAAACATCCCAGGCTAGCGCTGATATCGAGAGTTGATCATGGTCTAAATAAGTTAATTAATGTCTAATTAATAATTTAGATAACATTCCAGGCCTAAAGAGAGACCTGCAATAGGCAGATTTAGCTCTTGCATAATGTATGTTTAAGTAAAAAGACACAGAGTATAATTAATACCTGAGGAGGTGGTACAGGGTACTTGAGTTGTTCCCCTTTTAATAAACAAGACCAGGCTGTATAATAACCAATTAAATCTGACAGAGAATCAAACTGTCTACCACCAATATAATAATTACCACATAATGATATTATTCTGTAAAATAACAATTTAAAACATAAGACTTTATAAAACAGAGACAATAGACCCTAAAGCAAAGATGTACCAGTGGTTGCCAGACAAGATATGCCCACATTTTGTAAGAGATGAATAGAGAACAAGCTTAACTAGCCAACAGTGAGGCTGATGTTCCACGCCGAAATGCCAAAATAAATAGATGACAGATATTAATTAATACCACATTTATTTTTTTCAAAAGTATCAAGCAATCAAACTGATTATTAACTATACCCTAAGTTTCATCACTCTCTATCAGATAGAATCAAAGTTATCTTGTCCCAAAGCATCGACCATTGAAACTGCCTAGCTCTACTTAGCTTTAGCTCGAAATGTTAATCATTGAACTCAGTCAAGACGAACATCTACATCAAGTTTAAACATTCTACCTCAATTAGAAGCAGAGTTGTTATGTTCCAAAGTCTTGACCAATCAAAATGCTTATTGCTCCTTAGCCTAAGCAGACAATTCTCATCATCGAACTTAGTCAAGGTATTGATGTAATGAAACTATACACCAAGTTTCATCACTCTCACTTAATTAGAACTAAAGTTATCGTGTCCCAAAGCATCAACCAATCAAATTGCTTATCTCTGCTTACCCTAAGTAGAAAATGCTCATCTTTGAACTCCATCAAGGCACTGACCTAATAAACACCTACACCAAGTTTGAACATTCTAGGTCAATTAGAAGGAGAGTTATTGTGTTCCGAAATGTGTGACGGACGAACAGACAGACGCATTTTAATAGTCCCCTGCTTTCTTCGAAAGGCGGGGGACAATAAAAATGTTGGTCTTATGCATGTCCCAAAAATATGGTATGTTGAATGTAACTATGGGTGCCACATTATCAGTATCAACCCATCCCACCTAGTGATCTTGAAAACTGATGAATATCATTCAAGATTATAAAAGTATGTGTTAATCCAACACGCAGGTTTTTAATCTGATTTAAATCAATCAGGTTTAGCTCCTTTAAGGAATATTGTAGCTTTTTAGATGAGGTACTAACCTGAAATGAGATATAACGTGATTTGTTCCATGATAAGACAAAACAAACGATCCTGGTTTGCTCTCACTCTCCCTTATGAGGTAATTCCCCATTTCATTATTATTTAAAAGTCTTTCTTCTGCTGTTTGTCTATCTAATCTCCCATGGTACCATCTGAAATACCGTCAAATAAGATATCATCTCCAACTAAATGAGATACATGCATGTAATTAAATTCTGTATTTAAAAATATTTCAATTATGTGATGAATGCAATTATCTAAAGAAACTGGCCAGGAATAATAATTTTAATTTTAAGAACGATAGGTTGCCAGGAAACGAAACATACGCCCACAGCAGCTAAATCGTCCGAGTGATCAACAAGGGTTGTCGCATATTTATTCTTTTGTAGGTGATTGGGGGAATTTACAAGACAGTTCCATACAGATCAGATTATATTTTTTGTCGTTTGAGGGTTCACAAGGTTCTACAAACTGAAATTAGGGCCTTAACTCTGGATGTAATTTTCAGAACATTTTGAAATTTGACAGGCTTTTTTGTTTTACTAATTTCAGTAATGCATATAAATTTCATACAGATCGGATGATAACTTTTGTCATTCAAATGTTCACAAAGTAAAATAAGGCACATAACTCTAGAAATAATTGATGGAAAGCCTGAAATTCAATAGACCTCCGCTTCACAAATTTAAATGATGCATTTCAATTTCATACATATCAGATGATAACTTCCATCAATCAAGCATTAACAAGGTTAACAAAGTGAAACAAGGGCCATAACTCTAAAACTTAGAATTAATTATTATAAATTGATGAAATTCAATAGGCTTTGTGGTTTCACCAATCTAAATGATGCATATAAATTTCATACAGATCGGAAGATAACTTCTTCAAATTAAATAGCCTTTTTCATCTCGCTAATGTAAACAACATATATCAATTTTAAAACAGACGAAGGCAACTGTCATATATACGTCCACATTTATATGTGGGTGTATAAAAACAGGATAGAAAAAATTAACATCTCTTAGCAACCAACAACAGCAAACTTTGGCATCTAATATCTATTGCCTTCTTATTGGGGAAATAAAAAAAAAGTTAACCCTTAACCGGTCATTGTCGACTATAATCACCACAACGTTATACAGCTAAGGGGTCACGGTCGACCACAGCAAGAACCTTTTTTATAAGCCGCATTTGAGTATTTAGTTTCGTATTTAATTGATATGGCCACGCACGTGTGTCAGACAGGAACTTGTCTTGTCAAGTGCATCGAGAAAAACATGTCTTTGTTCAACATTTTTGGACGAAAAACGTAATTTAACGATGTTGGGAAGGTTAAAGACGCTCAAAGTGGTTGATACTTATGAGTTATTCCGACTCGGATTATATCGATGACACCGATTCTGAAGACAATATTTCTGATGAAAAGGATTTAGAATGATTTGCAAATTATAGATCAACTTATCCCCTTCAACTTTTTTTTGGTGTCAAGAGTCTATCACTTACAATTATCCTGCAGTAGTCCATTGAAATAGGCATACGAAATATTTCACGTCAGCATTTACTTAGCCTGACCACCTGACGTCAAAATGACGTCGATCGGTTAAGGGTTAAGGCAAATATGTTTGATATCAAAAACTGTTAAAATTAATGGCATATTTGCATATTTCAATAAGTGCAGAAAATAAGGGTTTTATTTTATATTGATAATGTGTTTTACCAAATCTAATAGCTCCACAGAGCAGTAATTATTACTGTTGATCTACAAATTCATTACAGTATATTATATTATACTAAATACTCTCACTTTAAGTAAATTCATTCCATAATTACCTTGATAATATTGTAAAGCACCAGTATGATAAATTGTACTTATAACCAGTAAAGAAATGTGTGTTTATTAAGGACATAATATATATAAGCATGTTGGCCTAACAACTATACATTTTAACTTCGAAAAATTAATGTGATGTCCTCAACCAATTTAAAGTCTCTGATTGTCATTCATGGTATTTTTAATCCCGTGATTGAAAACTATAATAATATTGTGAAAGTTCAATCTCTAAGAGATCTGTTCAAAAATATATATATGGCCCAATAAAATCTATTGATGGGCCTCTTTTTAACATAACTGAATCAATGAAGGGAGATTATCTACCGTCGAAACACATATTCTTTTATGTGGAATTTAATTTAGTCAGTTTGTACAGCCAAAATTGTAAATGGTGCAAACATTCTGCCAATGTAGATGTGTTTGGCCTCTGTGCGTCTATTAAATATAAATTCGGTCATTTTTGACAAACAGGAATTGTTTTTCTCAACAGATCTTCTTTGGGTTTTCATTTGGGCTCTGACTGATGGTTTTTAGAAATTCGGAAGTTCGCTTGATTAATATTAGCATCAAAGATTTGAGAAAGTTTTCTTCATCATTTTTTCGACATTCAAGATGGCATATCTCCGTCACTATTTCAGGTATCAAGTTGAAACTTGGTAGGAATAAGGAACACACAGTTGAAACTTGGTAGGAATAAGGAACATACACACCGATGCCTTCACAATGGCATATTAAAAAATTTTGTGACGGCTTCTGGAAACTTCCAGAAATTACCAAGGCCTTCTGATTTTTCCCAAACATGAATAGTTCTCTCCATTTTAAAAATAGACAAAAAATGGCATATGGTGGTGTTAGCCCCAGATTATAATCTTTCATTTTGAAAGACCTTGTTCGATAATATTTTCAACTGGTTGGCCGCCATATTGGATTTTACAAAAAACATTCAAATCGATATTCAGCCTTTTTAATTCCGATTTTCGAAAACTTTTTTTGTATTAAACCTACGCCAAATGGCAACACTCCTTAGGGAGCCGATTTTTTAATTTCGATTTTGTTTACTTCCGGTTTCACTTTGAAGTTTGTTCGATTTTTCACCATCTAGATGGTGACCTAACCTTTCAATGACCCTTGACCTTTGTATGTATAATACCTACTAACAATTAATATAACCAGCGGCTGCCATGCAGAGTACGCCCACATTTTTCAGGGATGGATAGAGAACAAGCTAAACAAAAAGCGATTTTTTGTACAATCAGGGGCCATAATTCAGGAAGCCATGATCCGATCTGCGCAAATATCGACAGCAACCACAATCTTTGGGTTATAAAAACTATTTGCGGAGATGGGCGGCAATTTTGTCTGGCAGTTTGGGTCCGATTTTCATGAAATTCGAACTCAACCAACAATACAGTGTAACAGTGACATATTCAAAGGTTTTTTTTCGGTAATAATTGTGACCTCTTGAGGGACCACAAGCTAAATATGTGATTTTTCAAACAATCAGGGGCCATAATTCAGGAAGTTACGACCCAATATGTGCAAATATCGAAAGGAACCAACATCTTTGGCTTATAAACCTGCATTTCAAGTTTCATCAAAATCTGGTGAATATTGTGACCTCTAGAGAGTCCACAACCTTGATATACCATATTTTTACACTATTAGCATACGGGGGGCGGCCATTTTGTTCAGCATTTTTGGTCCGATTTTCACAAAATTCGAATTCAACCATCATTAGGGTGTAACGGTGATATATTAAAACATTTTTTTAAATTGGGTAAAAATTGTGACCTCTAGACGAACCACAAGCTAAAAACACGATTTTTCTTACAGTCAAGGGCCATAATTCAGGAAGTTACCATCCGATATGCACAGATATCAAAAGGAACCAAGATCTTTGGGTTATAAACATGTATTTCAAGTTTCATCAAAATCGGATAAAAATTGTGAGCTGTAGAGGGACCACACACAACCTTGATATACCATATTTTTACACTGTTTTCGTTCGAGGGGCGGCGATTTTGTCCGGCAGTTTTGGTCTGATATTCACGAAATTCGAACTCAACCGTCATTAAGGTGTAACGGTGATATATTCAAACGTTTTTTTTAAATCAGAATAAAATTGTGACCTCCATAGGGTCCACAAGCAAAAAAACATGATTTTTTTGTACAATCAGGGGCCATAATTCAGGAAGTTACAGTCCGATATGTGCAAATATCGAAAGGAACCAAGATCTTTGGGTTATAAACATAAAAAAAATCAGATAAAAATTGTGACCTCTATAGGGTCCACAAGCCAAAAACACAATTTTTTGTACAATCAGGGGCCATAATCCATGAAGTTACGGTCCGATACATGCCAATATCGAAAGGAACCGAGATCTTAGGGAGATAAAGCAATATTTCAAGTTTTGTTGAAATCGGATAAAAATTGTAACCTGTAGACTGTTCACAAACAATTGTGGACGGACGGACGGACACGGGCGACGACAATATATGTTCACATGAAAATGTGGGCTTATAAAAAAGTCTGGCCATGAAGTATAACTTTCGGTTTTATTAAGAGTTCAAAATGACAGGTTTTTCCACTGTAATAGGTATTGGATGTTACTATACACAATAATTCATGGTGTAACTTGAATGTTGATGTGACAAAGGCGTTACGTAACGTGACATACCGAAACACTCAGTACTCCTTAGGGGTTCTGCTTTGATTTTGTTTTCATTATGTATATATATTTGAGTACATGTACATGAAAGATTTAATAAGACTTCTTTCTTATAAGCTAGTCAAACAATTGAGAGAAATTCACAACGAAGAACACAATTTAACTCTGACAAAGAAAGTGATTACTTTGTTTGTTTGTGGACTCTCTACAGGTCACAATTCTTGTCCGATTTTGACGAAATATAAGTTTATCCCCAAAAGATCTCAGCTGCTTTCGATATTGGCATGTATCGGATCGAAACTTCATGGATTATGGCCCCTGTTTGTACGAAAAATCACGTATTTAGCTTGTGGACCCTATAGAAGTCACAATTTTTATCCGATTTTGTTGAAAGTTGAAATGTAGGTTTATAACCAAAAGATCTCAGTTCCTTTCGATATTCGCGTATATCGGACCGTAACTTCCTGAATTATGGCCCCTGATTGTACTAAAAATCGTGTTTTTAGCTTGTGGACCCTATAGAGGTCATAATTTTTATCCGATTTAAAAAAACGTATTATTATAACACCGTTACACCCTAAGGACTACTGAGTTCGAATTTCGTTAAAATCTGCCCAAAATTGACAGACAAAATGGCCGCCGTTCGTTCACAAATAGCGTAAAAATATGGTATATCAAGGTTGAGGACCCTATAGAGGTCACAATTTTTATCCGATTTTGTTGAAACTTGAAATGTAAGTTTATACCCCAAAGATCTTGCTTCCTTTCGATATTCGCGCATATCGGATTGTAACTTCCTGAATTATGGCCCCTGATTGTACGAAAAATAACGTTTTTAGCTTGTGGACCCTATAGAGGTCATAATTTTTATCTGATTTAAAAAATCGTATTATTATATCACCATTGCAGCCCAAGGACGACTGAGTTGGAATTTCATGAAAATCGGCCCTAAACTGACAGACAAAATGGCCGCCCTTCGTTCTCAAATAGCGTAAAAATATGGTATATCAAGGTTGTGGACCCTATAGAGGTCACAATTTTTATCCGATTTTGTTGAAACTTGAAATGTAAGTTTATAACACAAAGATCTCGGTTCCTTTCGATATTTGCGCATATTGGACCGTAACTTCTTGAATTATGGCCCCTGATTTTACGAAAAATCGCGTTTTTATAGAGGTCATAATTTTTATCCGATTTTGTTGAAACTTGAAATGTAAGTTTATAACCCAAAGATCTTGGTTCCTTTTGATATTCGCGCATATCGGACCATTACTTCCTGAATTATGGCCCCTGATCACAATTCCCGAACTTATAGCTATGTTATCTACAGACACGTGAGCAGTAGCGTCCAATCAGAGGCTGTGACATCACAACCTCCACGGAAACCCTGACATTGAATGAACCTTGAACTTTGCAACTCGACTATATCACAGGTAGACGTTTTAACTTGAAAGCGCGAGACCTGGTATTCGCAACGATAGAAGAATCTGATAGGCTCACAAGTTGCGCTTGTACCCAATCGAAATTAGTGCTGAAATATGTAGGGTATTACGTGAAGGCCTAGATAAGATGTACGTAGTTAAAGCGAGATCAAGCCTTCTATTGAAGATGTGGCGACACAGGCAATGGAAAACTGTTCTGTTGACAGATAAGAGTCGTAATTGCTTATCAACTGCGGATGGCCGGACCAGAATATGGCGTCAACGTGGCCAGCGTTATTCTGACCACGTCGTACCAAGACCAAACACAGCAGATGGATTCCGGCAGGCTTTTCTAAGAGTGTGGTTCCAGGTGCTAATGGCGTTCATCAATCGTCTGGTCCACTCCATGTACAGACGCAGCGCTCCTGTTATTGACACTCGTGGTGTACACACCAGATACTGATGTATAGACCGTGTACAGACTCTAAACCTTCTTGTAATTTCTTGGAATTGTGATGAATTAATCACTAATGTGTCAACATACTGTTCACAAAAAATTGCTTTGATCCATTTAGTAAGTCCTTTTCTAGAATGATTTCATTAAAGTGCCTCTCTGATTTTGAAATCGTACTTATGTTGGGTTTTTTTTGCTGTTTAGTATATTATAAGGTCCATGCTATCACCATGTCCATGACAAGAGAAAATAGCACTAGAAGTTGAAATGGAAGAGATTTCAAAATTTGTGACAACATGGCTGTTCTACTTACTTTACCAACTCATCCAGAATAAACACCGCTCTGGTTTTCTCAATAATAGTTATATAATTTAATATTAAAACTTTGGCCGTGGCTTAGTTGGAAAAACTAAACTAACTACTAGCACTAATACTGACACAACTGTGTGTGATTTAGTGCTCATACGGCTAGTCAGATAACCGTAAATGTTAAGAATTGGGCGGTTAAACGGTTCAAATTGAACGGAACGGTTATTCAGAGATGTCCATCATTACATAGAGTTGTGCCCCATTATATTCCTCTTTATAACAAAAAGTGTCGGTTGTCCTCTTGTATTTGATGTTTGAAAATCTTAGAATGTAACTGTCGCCCTCTGATCTCTACTGCTAAAAAATAATACTATTAATAGCACTCATAGTCGTACGGCAAAGTCAACAGACCTTGTTCTGACTTTTGCTAATATTGTTTAATCCAATCCAAATACTTCTCCCCGCCATTTCTAACTATATTATACCTTGTTTTACATTTATTTAAAAATGTAACCACCATTCAGAATGTAATCATAAAGGTTAGAAAATGACATTATAATAATAGATTTGTTACGACATTCCAGTTCTACACGTTTCATATCTCGTAATTTCTCGCGAGAATTAGGTAAATTAACCAATCATAAAATTTCTACTAGCAAACCTGAAATTATTTCTTTATTGTCCAATCAATACATGCCTTCCAATTCACTTTATTCTGTTCTTAGTAACATTGTGTAATTGTAATACATCCTAAACTTAGGTGTGCAGTATGATCATAATATCATCGCCACATGTCACGTACGACGGGAAACAGAGTATTGTCTTGTATATTATCATAGATATTGAATTAAAAAAATGATTCAAATGAACCAAGTTAACCAGGTTATCAAATAACTATGGCCCTAGTTTAATTTTTCATTTAAGAATTGTACATTTCTATGAAAAGTTTCTCGAAATTTTTGTGCGAGTACTGGTAATGCCTTTTTAGGCGAGTATTGCGTGCATGCGAGTAATGACTCGTACCTCTTGACAAGGCCTGTTTTATGTTGAATATTGATACCAAACGGGTATTAAACCCTTACTAGCTACGTTTATTCGAATAACAAAAAGTCCTAACCGCAAGAACACTAGTCTGTAGTCAGTGTAAGTGTGATTCATCCATATGAATGAAGGCAGAAGCCATGATTTAATATGATATATATGTACACACAAATCCAAGGTAGTATTTAATGAGTAAATGATTAAAATTATAACTGACAGAACTGTAGTGTGTGTGTGTGTGTTAGTTACTGTTAGCTTTCATTCAATGTCCCTTTAAATTGTCTGTCAGTCAGGCGAGTCTGGCGAGCCAGCGAGTACGACTGAATTGTCCCAATTTGAGTTATCTTAAAAGTTTTCCGAAGCTTCAATCACTTACAGTTTTTGTGCTGGTGCATTTAATTCTAGCTGTGCTTCTAGACATTCTTTTTCGGTTGTTGGTGTCTCAACTTCTTCGTAGCCATCAACACACGAACTTTCTTCTAAACTTGTCTGTCTTGCTGTGTTTTTGTCGGCCATTTTTACATTGCAGCACAGTAGAGTAAATCAATTTCTGATTGGCTTAAAATTTGTAGCCTCACACCATGAATGAACTCTTCAGCCATTAAATTTTTAGTTCTTGAACTTGATAGATTGAGTTTTCCCTATTGCTCCGTACGTCACACTAGAGTTTTCAGTCGACGGTTGATTAACATTTTGGACTAGTTTGTGTAATTTAAATAAAACACGCAGTAATTCGAAATCATCGTTTTTGATTTTCTTTTTTTATTTTCCCTCCAGTTCAAATGTTTCCAAGGTTGTGGTGGTGGGGGGGGGGGGATATTAATTATTTCACTCTGAGGTAAGCATCCCAAGGGGTCATACAGGAGTAATCACTTATTCCGCTTGGGATAAGCAGGGTTTCCAGGATAGATACTAGATTATCGTCTTTTGTTAACGTGCGAGTCCTACAGGAGTAATTAAAGGCGCGCGGGCGTTTCAAAATATAGGGGGATTGTTGAGTTGGGTTACGTTTCTAATTAATTTGCGGGTTCCGTTTGGGTGATGTAGGATTTGGTGCTTTTCTTTGTACGAATATTGTTAGTTCGGGCTGACGCAAGCGTAAAGCCGTAGTGTTTATATTTTATTGTAAAGTTATGATTTTCTAATTATTTGAGGCCTCCCGCGCTGAAGATTTGGTGCTTAAATTTCCTTTGTTGTAGGCCTACGAATATTGTTAATTCGGGCTGAGGCCCGAAAGCTATGGTGTTTTAATGTAAAGTTATGAGTTTCTATAATATTATTTGAGGGCTAGCTCCGTTTGGGTGATATAAGATTTGGTGCTTTCCTTTGTACGAATATTTAGTTCGGGCTGAGGCAGACGTAAAGCTGTACGTGGTATTTATATTTTATTGTAAAGTTATCGAGTTTCTAATTATTTGAGGGCTCCGTTTGGGTGATATAAGATTTGGTGCTTCTTTGTACGAATATTGTTAGTTCGGACCGAGGCAGGCGAATTATTGTTTATATTTTGTTAGAGTTGAAGGACATATAGCCTATTGGTGCCAGTCATTATCACATAAATGTGATAGAGCTGGTTAAACGTGTATTCCAAATATAATTTTAACCAGGCCCGTAGCCAAGGGGGGGGGGGGCTGGGGGGCGAAGCCCCCCCTGGAAATAATCTTGCCCCCCCCCCTGACAAAAAGTTGTCGACCATATTTATAAATTACCTATGTATGATTTGAATATATTTATATATTTGAATTTATATATTTGAATATAATTATATATAATTGTCGATTTCTATGCATAGAAACTCGTTTACAGCTACTCAATTTTCAAAATTTTCCGGGGGGAGACCCCCGTACCCCCGGCAAGAGAGACCCCCCCCCCCGGACCCCCTACCGCCGGGGCTGCCCCCCCCCCTGCGCCAGCAAGCTGGCTACGGGCCTGATTTTAACACAGAGATCATTGCTACGATAGCTGAGTAATACAGGGTTCCTGAATCGGAAGTGACGAACGCCAAAGGAAAACACGAGTAATCCCTCTATATACGTAATTGGCTGATGTGACGAGTGATAACAGATACACGGCCGAATTTCTGCTCACTAAAAATTCCTTCGAAGACCAAAAGTTGCTATATGGGACTGTAAGAGGATACCTGACAATTCAATAAAGTAATTGAATGTCATTAGATAAGAGCGAACACGAGAAAAATAGAAATAGTCCGTACATTCCCTTGTTTATATTCATTCTATACCTTATAAAAACATGGTAATGCATGGACTTTTTCTGTTTTTCTGTCGTGTTCTCTTATCTAGAGGAAGTCAATTCTTTTTATGAATTGTCAGATATCTTCTCACCAGGGGTGGATTGGGGCCGGGAACCGGCCCGGGCTTCCGTGTCGGAGCGGCCCCTTTTACTGACCGCGGAGCCCGGATGGGGGTTCCGGGGGCTCTCCCCCATGAAAATTTTGAAAAATGAACCCCAAATATGCGATTTGGTGGCATATCTGATTATAATCTCTGTCAAATAATATATCTCATAAATAGATTAATTTAGGCCAAAACCCCGACCTGCAAGTAATTTACAACCATCAACCTGTGAAATTATCATATCGTCATATTATTAATTAACGTATTATTGTATCGTCAAAACCAGCTATCATCAAATTTTGCCGAGGCCTTAAAATTGAATTTTTTTTTTTTTTGGAGTTACGAACCATCGGCAGACGTTTCTGGCGACAGTGTCGGGTGAATCCGATGAAATTTTTGGATGAAATTTCCTTTGGCGTTCGTCACTTCCGATTCAGGAAACCTGTATTTCTCAGCTATGTGTTAAAATTATATTTGGAATGTGTTTAACCAGCTCTATCACATATTATGTGATAATTATTGGCACCAATATTGTCCATTGAGTTCTAATTTGATTCTGAGGGTTTCGTTCGGAAGTTATAAGATTTGGTGTAGTAAGTAGACGCCCCGTTTCTTGGTTCTGTAAAGCGGACATAGTTGACGTAAGGATAGTTGATGCAAACGTGGTGCAAGTCCTTTAATTTCAGCTGCAGGTTACCACTGGTAAGAAGAAGACAAACCGACTCGGATACGCGTCTCGGTCATTTCTTTTGTATTGAACGAAATAAAGAATCTAAAAATTCTATAAAAGTGTTTTCTTTTACTTTAGGGGGGTTGGATGGCCGAATGGTTAGCACGTGCGTGCTGTATCATAAGGCCTGTCATTGAGTCAACTGGCGTGGTTTCGAATCCCCGGCTGTACGTGGCAAGGAGAAGGGTCGCCTGTCCAACCTCGTGGGTTTTCCCCGGGTCCTCCGGTTTCCTCCCACTGCTAAAGACCCCTACGCGCAAGCGAATTATTGAAATAAAATTAAACCATATGTTAGTCCCGAAATGACCTAGTTTGTGTCGAGTGGACGTTAAACCCCATTTCTCTCTCTCTCTTCTTTTACTTTAATCCACGCGGGAAGCCTGACATCCTGTATACGAACCTGGGACTTCCGGTTGCATAAGAACCCGACACTGTCGACGCTCAAGTGTAATCGGGAACGACCCGTCCTGTTACATATACATATATATGTTATGGTCAAGCAGGAAAATACCACATAATAGAAAGAAACAGTTTATCGAAAGGAAAGTCCAAACAATTAAGTTCACCGCACATGGTTGTCGCACAAATTGTATGTCTCTTCTGTTGGTCTGTTCTAAGACATAAAACACTGACTGATGGAGAGGTTTTCATTCAGAAAACCAGGGAATAAGGTTGTCAAAGCACTCTGTTAATATCATGCCTGTTTATGCAATGTGAATGAGTTCAGACAGCCAAAGCATGTCTTTTCTGTTATAAATAATGGTAACGGAAAAGACTTCTTCTTGCATTTTGATAAACAAAACAAAGGGTATTTTGTTAAAATTATAATCAGTTATCGCTTTTTTTATTCTTTCTAATGGTATTCAAACATTTATTTAGACAACTGGAGTCAAATTAATGACTTTGAATTCTTGTTTTCCGTTATGTCTTTACTGTTTACATGGTCTTGTATTTGGTAATAACTGAAAAGAGATTCTTACAAATTTGATTTTGTTACATTTTTGTTATTTTTAAGAGTCCTGCATGACTATTGCATATACTTCCTCTTGTGTTATAAACCTAAAGAATTCAGTGAAAATTTCCTTAAAAATTCATAATTACTTCTCAAAATTTGTCTTTTCCGTTATTTGTACGTTTTTGTGAAAATAGCCCGTATACATAATGACACACACTCGTAGAAACTGAACGGGGCGGGTTAAATATATTTCCAAACGTTATGGTCAGATTGTTATCATTGAAAGTAGCAGAAAGAAGATTTAACCTAAGAGATTGATAGTGTGGGCATTCAATTAAAAAGTGAAATTCGGTTTCTGCTTTCAAAAGGGAATAGCTATAGTCTCAACTCGAGGGGGGTGGGGTAGGGGGCGTTCTTTTACTGGCCCCTCTCTATTTCTAATTTATGGGATCTCAAACATAGTGAGGTTCTAGAGAACTTGAAGTTTTTATTGTGTACATGAAGCAAATAATTAGCTGGAGAATCTATTGTAGGTTTTAGACTGCTATACAGGGGCGGATCCAGAGGGGGGGGGGGGTCGACCCCCCCCCCCCTGCTCAGCCACATAATTTTTTTTGTAAATCAACACTTTTTATGAGAAAGATTTCTCGGCCGTGTGCTTTATCCTTTATCGTCAGATTTGGGACAGTATGGGCACTCAAAGCACGAGATAATGATATAGACATTATGTGATATCACAATTAATGCTTTGCATCCATGAAATTGAATCACAATGTCATTGTATTAATTCATAATAAAAATTGACGTCAAACGAGGTGTTATATTTCTCTGTTTTAAAAGCTCAATGTGTATGTATATACGCCAAAATGACGATAGAGACCATGCGGGAGCGGGGGGGGGGGGTACATTGTCTTAGGAACATGCCCCCCCCCCCCTGCAAAAATTCCTGGATCCGCCCCTGCTATAAGTTCTAAGATATGTGTTGCCAGGGAAAAAATCCAGTTTTATAAATAGTATTGAATTGGGATCTTAGGACTGTTTGTATGTTAGATATTGACAGTTGGAAGGGAGATAAAATGAACTGGTCCAAGAGGGAGGATATTGCTGCTGACCATGATAATTGGGGATTAGATTTGCCTATTTCTACATCTTCCACATATGCGGCGGATAGTAACAGATTTGTACGTTTTATGTCAGGCGTATTTAGTCTTTTATAGAATAACAACATTCGTTGGTAAATATCAATTTGTATTGGGAAGATACCTAGTTCGGCCAGTGATCCTATATTTGAAGATTTTTTGGATTGGAGTAAAATAGATTTGCAACTCTTTATTGTTATTTTATTATGCTCCACATAATTCCATCCTACTATGTACAATGTGCGATACCCATACATCACAAGCATATACAGAGCTCTGCTTCACTATTGCCTCATATACTCTTTAAAAAAGTAGGTTGTACCTATGTACCTATGTAC